TTTTGGTCCATCTCCGACGACTAGAAGCGTAAAAATTCCCACCTTCTTAGATTATATATTCAATTTTATTGACGATTGGTCTTCGTGGATACGTGCGTGTTTGAAACCTGACTAATAACAAGTAAAGCCAGATTCTTTTCATAAATAGCACAAAGCTTAATAGTATTTTACAGTAATCTAATAAGCTCGTAATAAAATATGCTGAATAAAAGACATCCGTATGCATTATACTGATAAAATCCGATATCAATAAAAGAAGTTTCAAACGCAAGTTAGTAAATTGCTGGATGGTTAACCATTCAATTGGTAAACATTTTAACATGCAAAAATCATTAATTTTATCGTCTAACTTATTTTTATGCAGTAATTGAATGAGTGGCTCCAGGTCAAGGCGGTTTCAATTAAAGAAGCCGTTGTGGCGAACCCTCGACTCCGGAAAAATTAGCGCAAGTACATCTATGACATAAAATCGATGACAGTCAGACCTCCAGGGACAAGACCTCTCAATCATACCCAAGAGGTTACGAATAAGGCTGGTGTATTCATTAACGAAGTTCCCCTTCAGCCAATATTTGTAATTGTCTTGTTCAACGATAGAAGGTAAGTTCGTTCTTGTAGAAACAGAATTTTTTTCTCTGCTACAAGACAACCTTATCAATGTTTTTCCGCATTCAAAGAATATTTACCAATACGACGAATAGAAAGTTTCTTATAAAGCTTTCATACAAGCTAAAGAAATGCGATTCGTACTTTGGATTTGTATGCGAACTAACAAAAAAAATTCACTGATATCAAAACTCAAGTAATGCATACAGCGTGCTGATATATTTCTAATATTCATCTATAAAAACCGAATGCAGAATTTTATTTTAAAAAAGTTTGAAGAGGGTTTTCTGTCAAATACAGACTCATCACTGATATATTCATACACACAAATTGAAAACAACTTATGCAGAGTACAAAACTATTTCTATAAGGGCTAACTTATTCAAAACTACTATAAATTATTATTATCACAATAGATCAGGTCAAGCTATACGTGCCGAAATATTGTAATCGTTTGGTTTCGAAGCATTATTAAAGAAGGGCAAACGTAATCTGGATTTCGTACCGCGGTGAGATTTAACCAATAATGGAAGGAAATGCAAAAAATGCTGATTATTTTCAAAATGGTCATAAATCCTTTGTAGTGCTAGTAATTCGTTTTATTTATTGGTTGGACTCATTATATTTTTAAGTAATGAGGTTTTTTAAGATGTTATTTATAAGTAAATTGGATACATAAATTGGAGTTTTAAAAAAATCCAAATTATATTGAACATCTTTATCCATCTCTCTAGAGAGATTATTAAAATACAATCAATCGATTATTTCTTTTTTAAAGAACCGACACACAGTAACAAAGTAAATACTACAATAAGTGTGGTTAGCTTGAAATTAGGTAGATCTCAAAAATCGATTGGAACTAAAATTAAGTGTTGGATTTAAAGACATTGACATTCCAATTGAAAATTTATCATACATAGTTGAGATACGGCTTCATTTCAAATGTAGTAACATTACGATAGCAAAATGTCTAAAATTTCGGAAAAAAATTCTGAACTTTTGCCTCCCTTTTTTTTCTGATCAAATCACAAAACCTGACAAAGTCTACGACTGAAATGCAAGTCCTATAATGTACTAACATGTAAATACTAGGTTACACATATCAATACTACCGCCACATACAGTTTAACCTTGAAAATTTTTAACTAGGTTTCTACGCGAATCATACATGATGAGTTACAAGTTAACAGAATTAAATCTCTAATTTGACGAACGATGTATACAATTACCTCGTTCCACCGGCTATTTTAAATCTGCGGGGGATGAATTATTATAATAGATTACGAACACAAAAACTTCAAAACCTGGAAGATTCATGGAGCGACAATATAACAATGGATCGGCTTATTAGTAGGTGTATTATTATTCTGAGCGTCATAAGTTATTGAATGGGCAAAATCGTGTACAGTTGTTTAAATACAATGAGCATCGGCGTAAGAATGCTGTATCATAACTCGACCATTCATCCAGATAGTTATTGTTCGATGTCTTATAAATTCTCACGAGCGTGTACAAGATATGAACATTAGTTATTGAAAATCTAAATCCTTTCAATTCCCTGACTTACTTATAATTATATCCTGGGTCAATCGTATCGCCTTTCGATGATTTTCCCAGCAACGTACATTGAAAATGGGATGTTATAATCATGTTTGTTGATGATTTTGCGTATATTGTTGTGTTGGACTAAGACAGTGGTTCTCAGCCTTTTACTGACCCCGCACCACTTTACTGTTTTTCTTATGACCGCGTACCACTGTAAAAGTTCCATTTTGGCGCGGGGAAACAATGGCACAAGACACGCGCTATGGGAGTATTTTATCATGTGGCACTGCATCCTTAGTGACCTAATTCGCAAGACGGACGAACAAATGCCCATCTCGATTCGTTCGTGGACAATAGCAGGCGAGGGCGATCTCTAAATACTGGACTGGCCCATACGACGTTTTCTGGCCCTTGTCCTCAGAAAAATTCTTCCTATACTTTACTATTGCAAAAAAAATGTACTTATTTTGAGAGTGTTTTGATATGTTGGCGCTTATAAGCTGGTTTTGTTTACGTGTTTGAAAACCCTCATTTTTATTAAAATTATTCAATCATGTGCCGTTTACAGGCACTGATAGCTTAGTTTAGATTAGTCTATCGCAGAATTTACGAGACTCATTTTTGATTACAGCAACTAAATTAATGCCCCTTTGAAGACATAATGACAATTAAGATATTTAATTCACAACTATTTTTTTGAAACGCAACTGAAAACTGGCAAATAACAAGCAAAACTACAACAACGAGGAAATGTTTACTGATTGTTGCTGGTTACGGAAGTAAACAAGGAAATTGATGCACGGGGAAATATTCATAGAGCCCGTTCGGCGAATACATTCAGTGTGGAAGATAAAGCGTGTCGGTATTTGGCCAACTGTTAATTGTTGCAATAATTCAAAGCTACTCGCGTGCCCCTTGTTCATCTTCCGTGTACCACTAGTGGTACGCGTACCACAGGTTGAGAACCACTGCATTGCAATCATTATCTCATCTAGTCTGTTTTTGGTAAAGCGAAATATGAATTCATCGTATTTCATCATTTCTTTATATTGCGATATGCAAATTATTATACGAATCTTACAACTGGAGAAGTCACTGTTTGTTACACAGTTATACTACTTTGACTGTGGAAATTCAACAATACTGTTGTACTTTATATATAGCTAGACAAATCAAATTGAAAATCTGTGTCGTCATATTCCCCTGCAACCATTCTATCCTATAGCCAGTACAGTGAGTACACTATACAGCGGAGTATTTTATATTGTATAAAAATCACAAAATCGATATTTATTTTATTTTAAAAAAAGTCACATTGATGCCAAACCATAATTATTTACATGAAATTCCTGAAAAGTTATCTTTTCAGAATAAAATTATATTGGTATATAAACGAAATAAAAAGAAAAACACAAAAACCAAAGTGTCTATTACATATAATATAATAATCAACCCCCAAATTAATTAAGAAGTTTTTGTAATTGAATTTTAGTGTTATAATTAGATTGCAGTTTTAAGTCTAACAATTTATATGTAAATAGCGATCAATAGTAATTTTTGAGTTACCTAGAGATTTAGAATTTCAGTAACAAAATTTTCCCTAAAACTAAAATTTAAAGGTTTTGCGGCGCAATAAAAAGCCGACTGGGATTTGGTATAATTGAAAACATTCTATGTAAAATTAAATTTGCCAATTTCTTTAGATATTCAGATTGAAAGAGCGGATTCGCAAAAATAAAACATTTACCTATTAAAAAATAATTTGAGTGCAACGTTTGATTATATCATATTTTTAGTTGAACCTAACAATAATATATTTTACAAATTCTTGAAACATTTTATTGCAGAATTTTTCAAAATTGTTAGTGTCTCTAAGTTAAACCTGGCGACTGAATATAATAGCGTGATTATTTAAAATATATATAAGGTTTTAAACTATTACAGTCGACGCAAAATTCATACCCAAATTTCGAGTACCCTGCTCATGCTTATTACAATATGTGCTATTAGTGAGAGTATATGTATACTAAAGCGAAGTTAATACATGCTGAAACGGGCCAACAGGCCCGAAATGGAAAAAGTCATGCAAATAAGTAATCGAAACTTACCGACTTTGGACATGAGGTCTACTACCTGAGGGGTTTGGTTTAAAATCTCGTTTTGCAGCACCGCTTGGTGTCGAGTAAGGTAGCAATCCGTGAAGGATTATGGGCGTTCGACGTTGTTGAATAAGTTTTTGAATGGTGGTAAATATACAGACACAATTTATGAATTTCCTGGACACGACGTTGGCCTATGGATCGTTTTGTTAAATGTTTATTGTCCCTATTGTTACCTTGTCATATTTTAAACGTTACCTTTGATCTTTGCTCGCAAATTGTCGTGAAGTTAGCTTGATGGTTAACTAAAATATCCTAATAGGATTTAACAGCTGCCGAAAGTTGAGTAATTCTTCCTACTTTGCGCTTGGTGGAAGGTTATGAATGACTCTTAAAAATCCAAGCTGACTTCAAAAATGTATATACTATGTTAGTACATAATATAATTGGTATGAATATTTTTATATTTAGGGATTATTGTACATGAGTATTATTTGAAAATTCCAAATGCTGCCCACTATGAATTTGTTTTACCATGTGCAACTCAGACACCACTTTTTAAACCATTGAGCTTTTCGAAGCAAAAAATAATATCGGTATGTTTGAAGAGTGACGTCACCGAATGCTGTATACAGAATCTAGAAGTTTTGTTTGCACTAATATCTGGTGGTGATTTTCGTGATTAGTATCTGGCATTTTGTTAGTGCCGTGTTGGAACACGAAACTTCAGTAACGCTGGAATTTGTGGATATGACTAACTTTAGCGGAAAGGTTGTTATAATTACAGGTAAATTAAATGAAATCCCATTGATTCAACAGTAGGAAAAGAAATAACAAACGATTGCCGATCGACTAAAATTAATACTACCGAATGCCTATAATACAGAGAAGAAAATTCAGGACATCAGTGGGAAGAACTGAAGTAGGAATTAGGAAAATGAAGTGACGTCATAATGCCGAAACTTGACGTCATAATATAAAAATATATCGTAAAATAAATCTTCTACAAGTATGCTGATTCATTTAAAATCTAAATAAAGTGCAAAACTAAATAGCATTATTGTCCTCAAAAGTACAGCAGGCTATATAAACTTGCTATCACTTGAAAATAGGTCTGTTTACAATTTATAGGTGCCTCTAGTGGAATCGGAGCAGCCACTGCAATTGAACTCTCAAAAGGAGGAGCCAAGTTAACAATCTGCGGAAGAAGCAAAGAAAGATTATCAGAAACAGCCAAAGCATGCAAAGAAAATGGTGCCGAGGTATTTGTATATTTGAACTTCTTGATATAAATAATTACAATAAAATAAATAGTGCTTCAAAATAAAACACTTTCAGGTTTTCTTATGAAAGAGAATAAAGAATGCAATTTCAGTAGATACCATGCCAGTAAAGCTTGCAGTGAATAGACTTTAAAAAAATAAACAAATGAAGCTGAAGTTTTTTGAGTTGGACTAAAATTTCAAGTTATATGCTTATGCTATAAATTATATTTCAGGTTCTTGGAATAGTTGGAGATTTATTACAGTTTGAACATTTGGAACATATTATTAACAAAACAGTCGAGAAATTTTCTACTATTGATGTGTTGATTAATAATGCAGGACGTGGATTGGCTAAACCTTTTGAAAATGTGAGTGCTTCAACCATGTAAATCTTGCCAATCTGAATTTCTCAAAAAAAATTTTTAATATGATGTAACATATTTTCATCGGTAAACAGTCCAATGTCGATCTGAATCAATGTTTGGCAAACAGTGAAACACTGCGTACAGTGAAATGAAATTGGTTGATAATCTTCCAAAAATACAATTATTTAAAGGGCAATGCACGATAACAACAAGTATATAAAATAACGTAAAATACTGTGTTTTTTTTTACCTATAATGCAAAAAGTTTAACATTAACTACTATTTTTTTTTAATTCAACCTTAACTTATGTGGTATGACATAAAAAACAAGCGGTGCCACCTTACCTAACATTACCCCAATCACATAAAGACATTCTAATAGAATTCAGTTTCTAGAGTCAATCGAAATCAATATCTGGGTGTTTTTTTCAACTAATCGGAAGTTGTGAGCAAAAATCATTTCCGAAAAGTCAAGTTTGATTGAAAATTGACTTATAATGCGCAATCCTTCTCGTTACGAAAAATAACGTGAGTCGACATGCATACCATTTGGAACTATAAAATTTATTTCATTTAGCTCTATGACTTTAACAAAGTATATTTTCAGGTAGAAGTAACTGATTTTGACATGCTGTTTCGGATACTGGTTAGGGCTCCTGTGTTTCTCTGCAAATATGCATTACCATATCTAAAGAAAACAAAAGGTGAATCTGAAAAAAATATTTTGTAACCGTATTAACCATATACACTTATAGATATCCATATTGTTATTAATTAATTTTACATGTGGTATCCACATAAATACAATGTATAAACAATGTATAATAAACCTATCGAACTAAATATTTATTGAATAATTTTAGGATGTGTAGTGAATGTGTCGAGTATTGCATCACTTGGTACAAAAATATCGAGTATTCCATACCAAATGTTCAAATGTGCTTTGGATCACTTCACGAAAGGATTTGCAGCAGGTCAGTGTTATTCAAATTGTTTTAGTCATGTACCCCATTAACATTTAATACTCAATTCCGATACAATATAATATAAGATATAAATAGTCGAGTGGCTGAATATGGTAAATTACTTATTCTGGTAAACAATTTTCAAATACTAACCTACCATTTTTAGTGGATAAATTGGGACATATCTCAAATTGCAAAAATTGAAGAATAAAAAAGTTTTCAGAATGTTAACTTTGATATTTTGTTGTTTATATGAAATGATAACAAAGCAGAAAAAATCTGATGGCAGATTAACGGAATTTTCATTTTCAACTCTAAATAGATTGAATTTCATATAATCGACATACTGAAGATAATTCAATAAATACTACACTCATTATTTTACAGAGTGCAGTCCATTTGGTGTCCGTGTGAATTGCATAAAGTAAGGAAATTTTGAAATTTGAATTTTACTTTCTCATACACTCAAATTTTTTATTAACATCTACATATAAAATTTTTAAATTTGCATCTTGTAGTTCTAACTTAATCATAAATTTGTATAACGCATCTTACTTTAAGACTTCCATATCATCAACGTAATAGTTATTTTATAATTACAGTCCAGCACTGGTGTCGACAAGAATTGGAGAGACAACTGGATTGTCAAAGGAGAGCACAGAAAAGGCGAGCAAATACAGCATATTTTGTCATAACCAAATAAGCGTATCATAACTTGAGTGAATTGGTTAAAAAATATACTATTTTTAAAACTTGTGAGCAAGACTGGGAAAGTTTGGCAACGTTACTTTTATTTCAAGTTCTAATCACCATACTGAAAATGAACCAATAGATCATGGAGTTCCCTACGCAAATTTTAAGAAACAACGTTTTTGTGAACATTTTTGAATTTGATCATTCTCATACCATCTTTACTTTCATTTATTTTTGCAAACATTTATGTTTAACAGTAAAGCAATTTAATAAAATTATTCTTAGATCGTTGAGCAGTACAAGAAACATCACCCTTTTGGAATAATGCAACCTGAAACAATAGCAGCAGGAATCATGTTTCTGTGTTCCTCCCTACATGTTACCGGGATATTATTGCCTGTTGACTCGGGGTTTTTGGGCACATTTTGAGATTCTTGGTTTTCAACGATTTTTTCAAAATACAGTACTTCGTATAATGATGGTAATTTGTTAGTAAACAATTGAATGAGTTGTTAGCAGAACATCTGTGAATGTCAGACCAATGAGTTTGTATATATATATATATACTACAATAGCAAGTTACCTATAGGAATACCTCTTTAAGAAAACGATAAAACAATTTTCCACACCAAGTCTTTGACCAGAAAATGTAACTTATGCTGATTGCTTAATGCACAAATTATTATTGATAAAAAATCATACTAGATATTGATAACAAATCTCCAATATATAATAATCCAATAAATCTCCAAACTTTGCCCCAATATATATTGCAAAAACCTCGATATTTTGGGCTGTATGGCTCCTTGATAATGTCGCATACGTTAACATATTTTGACATTTGACAACGTTAGCTGAAAATCGATGTAAACGCAAAGAGTCAGTAATCAAATTGCAAATATCTCATTCATTCAAAAACTTGCTTTTGATGTTTTTGTGTATCATTGTTTCCGTAATAAGACTAAATGCATTTTTACTTTTCAAATCAATCTTGATATGAACAAATTGAACGTCGATCATTATGTTCGGTATTACGGTAATTCGATGGCTACAAAAGAGAGTAAGAGTAAATATAACTACCAATACATTTACCCATATATATATATATATATATATATTCAGGTACATCAGGTTTACCTAATCTTAAAAAATCAACACTTAATTCAGCCATGGCAGCACATTGTTGTTTGTCCTTTTATTCAACCGCAGAACGTAACATGAATTTAATGTAATATTGTACAAACAAGATGAGACAAATCATATAATACAGGTACTACCTTTGTCCACACACAAAATCCAATATTACGTTATTGTCAATGATTAATAAAATGGACATTGCGGAAAATTTTGCGGTATGCCGCGTTGCACTATGACACTCGAGTAACGCGACAAATATGTTGAACTTTAGCGGAAAAGTTGTCATAATTACAGGTAAATCAGAAGGAAACCTATTGGTTGAAAATAGGAAATAAAGTAACAGGCGCTGGCCTATCGACAGAAATTAACCTTATAACCCAGAGAATATATATAATTTAGGATAACAATGGGAATAATGAAAGTAGAAATGAGGAAAGATAAAAAGAAGTCATACTGCGAGAACTCGGAGCAATACAGAAAAATATCATAAAATATATGCTTGAAGAATGCTAGATCATTTCAATACCTAAACATGATGGTAAATAAACCATCATTATCAAATAAAAATGTACAGCAGGATATATAAACGTGGTTATCACCTAAAATAGGTCTTCTCAATTTATAGGAGCCTCTAGCGGAATCGGAGCAGCAACTGCAATTGCATTTTCAAAAGAAGGAGCCAAGTTAACAATCTGCGGAAGAAACAAAGAAAGATTATCAGAAACAGCCAAAGAATGCAAAGAAAATGGTGCCGAGGTCTATTTATTTCGAGTTTCTTCAAATAAAATAATTACACTAAAGAAGATATTGCTGAAAAAAAATAATACATTTTTTGTGTTTGAGCAACAAGACCAAAAACGAAGTTTTTTACCCACAATTCTCCCATCAAAATCATCTCAAAGCTGGAGCCGTGGAACAGCTACCATAACTTATCATTACCGGCACCAAGGCACGCGGAAATTTTTCAAAATAAATAAAAATGCTTCTAGCGACAACAGCAATCTTAAACCACTAAAAATTTCAGAATAATTGGTCCAGCAGTTAAAGGGGAAAGTTATTTTTCATAGAGAAGAATGTCGACAGTAACAGCATAGCAAAACGATTCGTAGGTCCACTTCGCGTTCAATAAAATAAATAAAACTTTCAATAATATACAAAAGGGTTATGGTATATGCTAAAAATTATATTTCAGGTTTTTGAAATTGTTGGAGATTTATTAGAATTTGAACATTTGGAACAAATTATTAACAAAACAGTCGAGAGATTTTCTGCTATCGATGTATTGATTAATAATGCAGGGCGAGGATTGGCCAAAACTTTCGAAAATGTGAGTACTTTAACCAGGTAAATTATGTTCTTCTGAGTTTCTTGAATTTTTTTAAAAATATGCTCTATATATATTTAGTTAACATTTAGTTGATTCATTTCGTTGACAGACTGTCTACTGTCCACCTCAACCAATGGTGGACAAACAGTTACAGTAGGTTGAGAGGTACTCAGATTTTGACTCATTTGAGTGAAATAAAACGCCAAACCAAAATAGAAAACTACACTGCCGCCCTGTCAAAAAAATGAATCCGAATTGGTTGATATAGTTTCAATAATACCGTAATTTAGAGGGTAATGGTGCGACAGCAACTGGGTGGTTAATAATACAGACGCAATAAATTTGAAAACATCGCACATTTCATTTTAGTACAGAAAAAATGAGAATAACCTCTAAATCTTTGTTACTCATGAGTGCACACTTGACTTGCTTAACTGATGAAGTTTAACCTGAAATGATGTGGGGAAAATGCAAGTGAGAAAATTTGGCATTGAGATATTGCGATCATAAAAACATTTGAATACTAATTTAACAAACAAAATTTTAAAAATCTTAAATTATTTTATAATTCCGAATTCATTATCTGGCAATGTTCAAACTAATCGTAAGTCGCGTGTCAAAGTAAATTGGCTCTTACTGAAAAATCGAACATGTTATTAAAATCGTGAAACGACATGCATACCAGGAGGATAAATCTAAAATATTTATTTCGTATAAATCTATGACGTTAACAGGAGATGCATTTCTAGGTAGAAGTATCAGATTTTGATATGTTGTTTGGGATACTCGTTCGGGCTCCAGTGTTTCTCTGCAAATATGCTTTGCCTTATCTAAAGAAAACGAAAGGTGAATCGGAAAAATTGTTTCCAACAGAACAGTATTAACCATATACAATTATCATATATATTGTTGTAATGTGATTGTGAATGCGATTTTCACATAATTCCATTGTATTGTCAAAAATTCATGTGGCTAAATATTTAATGAATACTTTTAGGATGTGTAGTTAATGTGTCGAGTATTGCGTCGATGAGTACTAAAATAGGGGATATTCCCTATCAAATGTTCAAATGTGCTTTGAATCACTTCACGAAAGGATTTTCAGCAGGTCAGAGTTATTTGTATTGTTTTATTTAAATTGTTGAATGTTGTTATTTCATTCGGTTATGATGAAATATAAGATATAAACAGTCGTATCGAGTTGTTGAAACTAAGTAAAAATCTAATTCATTTTTTCTTGTGACAATTTGCAAATATTAACCTGGTACTTTTCAGAAAGTTACATGTGAGATGTTTCAAATTGCAAAAATTGAAGTAATTTTCAGAATGGTGATTCTGACATTCCCTAATTTATATAAAATGATAACAAAACGTAACAAATCTTGTAGAAGATGAATGAAATTTTCATTAAATAATATAATTATTTTACAGAGTGCAGTCCATTTGGTGTCCGTGTGAATTGCATAAAGTAAGACTATTTTAAAATGTAAATTTTGCTTTGTCACACAACATAGAAAAATTTTAAATTTTCATCCTGCAGATTATAATATTCAAAAATTTGTATAACGCAACTGATCAGAACTCAACCATTTTAGGTGATTGAGCTTGGTTTTGTACACTGTACAATTCCTCCAAGTTTTTTACTTCGAGCATTCCACTTGTATCAGCAACCGGAAAAATAATTTTCACCAAAATCAGCGTTCTATATTCACAGCCCAGCATTAGTGGAAACAAGAATTGGTGAATCATCTGGAGTGCCAAGGGAAGTTATGGATGAGGCGAGTAAAAATATTTTGTTGCAATTAAAAAAGTTTATGATGACTGGAGTTAGGAATATGCCATTTTTACACTTGTAACATTACTTTCATTTTAAGTTTTGATCACCGTATTGAAATCATGTAATTCCTTCAAACACAAAATCCAAGAAACAAAGTTTAGTGAATAGTTAGTTAATGGTGTTTACATTTGGCCACACTTAATGTTCAAAGATAGCCACTTTCCAGCTTTAATTATTTTGGCGAATATTCATAGAGTAAAACATTTCGATAAACTTATTCTTAGATCGTTGAGCAGTACAAGAAACATCACCCTTTTGGAATAATGCAACCTGAAACAATAGCAGATGGAATCATGTTTCTGTGTTCCTCCCCACATGTTACCGGGATAGCACTGCCTGTTGACTCGGGATTTTTGGGCACATTCTGAGATTCTTGGTATTCAGCGATTTTTTCAGAATACAGTACATTCCAGATTGAAATTTATTCGTTATGTAAACAAATAGGTGAATTGTTAGTTGGGAAGCTCCAGGGCCAATTAAGTTTTAGATAGCAAGTCGCAGAGGAATAACATTTCATAAATTGATAAAACAATTTCTCACACCAAGTCTTTGACCAAAAAATGTAACTTGCTGCATGTACAAATTAACATTAGTAAAAATGTCATACAAAATATTGATCACAAAGTTTTATCTTCGTTCTAAGTTATAAACTATAACAAAAATCCAAATATCTTGATCCGTTTGGCTCCCTGAAAATGTCCAAAGAGTAACATATTTTGTCTTTCGACGTCGATGAGAATCACTGGAAACACAAATCAAATTGCAAATATCTTGTTCATTGGATAACTTGTAATGTTTTCGTGCAGCATTATTTATGTAACGGGACTAAACAAATATTTATCTTTCTAATCAATCTCGATATGAACAAATATTCAACTTCAATCATGTTCGGTATTGCGCAATTCGATGCCCATAAAAGAGCCATTTCACTGTCACCACATTTCTCATATTTTCCTAATCTCAAAACATCAACACTTAATTGCATAATCAGCCATGACAGCACATTGTTGTTGGCCTTTTAATCAACAGTATACGTGTGGTGGTCTTTTTATAAACAGGGAAGAATATAACGAAGCAAACTATCATCAACTGTTGCAAGCTATTAGTTTACGTATGAGATAACGTAACCTAATTGTAATGGAATGGTGTACAAACAAGACGAGACAAATTATATAGTACAGGTACTACCTCTGTCGACCAATGATGCAGACGACATGTAAAATTCCATGTCACGGTAACGTCAATGATTAATAAACGTTTCTCAAAAACAATTGAAGGGCTGTACGCTATAGTAGCCCAGTAAGACTGAAGTGGCGCGATGAAATTTTTTGGGAAAATAGTGGTTGTCACAGGTGAGAGCACGTGTAATAAGATAAAGGCGTGTCGAGAAATATGTCTGATGTGAGGATACTGGTACGTAGCGAGCCTGCCAGCCATGAATTTCATGTTAGCGGTAGACATGTTGTTCTATATCCAAGCGTCCGATATCATATTACTGATTGAAAACTTTGTCCTTTTTTTTTCTGAAAATTTTAAGTAGATTTTACGACAGAAACGAATTTGTCAATTCATATTATAAGTTGCTATTGTAATGGTTTTATATTTAGTTCATGGAGATGGAGTATATATATAACAAGAGTGCAATGCCCAAACAAATTTCCACGAAGATCCAATGACTAATCACAGCACCATTACTTAGCCTATGCAACTTACATATCGTAACGCTAATAACCGAATTGCGTAAGTCATTTTTTGGCGGTTTTGAGTTTTTCATAAAATAGGTATTTATGTAATGCTGCGCACCTGTCTGTTAACTCAGATTTTATTTTAAGAATTCCAAAACCCATAAAAATAGAGATTTTGTATGATATATATGCAAAATTGTTCAATTGTTTCGCCACAATGAATTATCCTTGTTAACGCGGGACTATTGTGACGCCACAAAGGCAAAATAACCTCGGCGAAGGATTTTGAGTATTTGCATCTCAGATTCTAGCTTAGCGCTCATAAATTTCAATTTATACTACAATATAGGAAGACGTGCACTTGTGATATTCACTGTCTGAGTCCAATTCACCTTGGTTGGCTTCTTTATAAGGGTACATTGCTGTTTTATTCTTTATATTTGACTTTAGTCTTATTTCGGTGGATGTGCAGAGCGTGTTATATTGATGAAATATATATTTCTAAACATAAAAAATAATGTAATTAAAACAGATTAGCTATTTTGGAGATTAGACATCGTATATACTGAAAATTACATTCGTTTTTGGATTGTTTGGTTTTCAGGACTGGTACATATAGTCAAGTTGCAAAATTGCGTATGTCCCCTAGTCAAAGACACATTTCTGCGCCATCAGTGCGTCATTATGACGTCACATGACTGCGTCAAACAAATTAACTTAAATCAGCGGTATAGTGGCATAGCAATATCATTAGGAAGTTTTTTACGTTTTTTTCAAAACTGCTAAAAATGACTTACGCAATTCGGTTATTAGCGTGACGATATTTATGATCGATCAAAAGCATCAAAATTGCAAATCTAGCGAACTGTCGAAGCAAATCAACCAGGTACCGGTAAGACCTTAGCTGAGAAGCAAGCTCCCCTTTGTCGGAAAGTTATCAGATTAGTCTGGCATGATGCCACGTGATGTCTCGATATTCATAGAAATGGCAAAATTTTGAACGACTTGGGGGAGATCAGTAACCTTTCAGCAATCTAGCGGCTCCAACCATCTTCGAGTACAGAAAATTTGAAAACGATTGGTCCGTTAGATTCGGGAAAATTTGTATCCGATTTGTACAGTAACAAATGTTACACTAACACCAATTTAGCAAGGCGATTCGAACTTACATTTCGTGTCCATTGGCTTATTCCGTGTTTATTTTTATCGTATTCACAGGTCAGTTGCATCCTGCTCAACTCCAAATATCTTGACTGTGACTACTGTATCAGTTGCGTTTCTCTATTTCATTCCAATTCATATTTAATAAATAACACAACATTGTATGTTTATTCATGGCAGGAGCATCGAGTGGGATCGGTGCAGCTACCGCAATAGCATTCTCAAAAGAAGGAGCTAAGCTGGCAATTTGTGGGAGGAACAAAGAAAGATTATCAGAAACAGCAAAAATATGTCTCGAAAATGGTGTTGAGGTCTGTTTTGTGATTTAGTGTTTGATTAAATGTCGATGACAAAAAAACTACACGGTACGATGACCAGATCCACATGCCTGTATATTTTCTTGGAAAACAGTTGGGTAATATATACATGGAATTATCATCAAGAAAGTGATCTGCTTTATTGCATCAAAATTACAGGCCGAAGAGCTGTAAAATAACAATTTGTTATGTAGGAAAATATATTATTATAATAATATTCACAATAATAATATTTTAGGTTTTGGAAATTGTTGGAGATCTATTACAATTTGAGCATTTGGAACTAATCATCAACAAGACAGTCGAGAAATTTTCTGCCATTGATATTTTGATAAACAACGCAGGACGAGGATTGCTTAAATCTGTTAGTGATGTGAGTACATTTCAATTGTTATTAGAAACAATATGCAAGTCGGTAAGATGACTTTCCCTATTGTACTTTGTTGGGCTTTTGGCATCAGGTCATCTGTAGTTCTTTGGGTTCAAATCAATAATTTGGAATCAGCAAACATAAATGTATTCAAAACTTGACTCATAAAGTAAAAAAAATAACAGATTTCCAAGGCTGCCAAAATTACGTTTACCAAATTAAGATAAATATACATGCTTGCCTGAGCTGAATATTTATTATGCATAACAAACAAACATACAAAATTTAATTTCAATGGAAAAGTTATAGTTGCTTTTCTTTGCTAATACATATCTAAAATCACTATCAGCGAACAAAAGGCCATGAAAGTGACAAAGAAGCAATGTTTAATTATATAGATAGGAATTTCCAATACTTGATAATAGTATAGCAGTAACCATTTCGATCTACACTAAAATTTGTAATTTGATCGTTCAAATGCTTGAAAGCGATTTTGAATTAACGCAGCAATCCACTTGGTTGTCGTATGGCGTTAGATGAACAGCGGGTTTACTGAAATAAAACAAAATTAAAGCAGAAATTTTCTGAGTAAAAATCAACAAAATAATTCATATATCCATTTCGTGTCCAACAATGCTAATTTCATTTTAGGTGGAAGTTCCTGATTTCGACCTATTATTTCGGATACTTATTCGTGCTCCTGTTTTTTTATGCAAATACGCTTTGCCTCATCTCAAGAAAACAAAAGGTGCATCGAATTATTAAGATTTTTATTGTGTAGGATATATATATACGGAATTTTAAACGCATTTTTCAACATAACTGTGATGAATTGCACAAAAGAATACAAATATAAACAGGACAGCAAAGCTCAAATATATGACACGAAGGCTAAATTGAAATATTTTACCCACAATTCCCACAAAACCATTTCTCGATCGAAGCTGGAACTGTGGAACGGTTATCGTAACTGCATAATTCAAAAAATTACGTCACTGCTACCTCACTAGACACCTGCTATACACAAGACCCTCAGTTACCTACTGTAACCCTTACCAAAACATTTCCGTAGAGCGAGCACTGACTTTGCCAAATCAAAACGTAGACATCCTGATGTTGATGTGAGCCGTCACGCTTGGCGGAATAAATACCATGCTCCCATGAAAAAAAAAACAGCGAAATTTTGAATTTAATATCGGATCTTATAGGATTCATAGAAAATATAGGAGTAATAGCCTTCAAGCGACAACAACACTCTTCAAACCACTGAAAATCACAAAGCAATTGGTGCAATAGTTGGAGAGAAAAAAATTCCTAACAACAACAAGAATACTAATAGCAACAACAAAACGATCGATATGTCCATTTCGTGTCCAACAAATGAATTTTACTTTGATAGTCATCGATATAATAATCTCCCGTATCATACAAACACTTACAAATTCTTATAATTGTAGGGTGTGTAGTGAATGTGTCGAGTGTAGCGACGTTTTGCAGTGGAAAAACATCTACTTCTTACAAAATGTTCAAGGGTGCTTTGGATCACTTTACATCAGGATTCTCTGCAGGTCGATTTTCGATTCGAATATTTGATAACTTATAGTGAGGAAAGTAAAGAATATTATAAAAACATAATGAGTAATAAAATATCAATTTATCCCATGAATACGATCAAACCTGTACACATATATATAATATTCTGTAGAAAATTCAACGTTATTCTCCGTTTGATATCCAATCGTGATGTTATTGTATCTACGGTTCCAAACTGTAAGTCAAGCTGCTAATTTCTTCACATTTTATAAAATTATTTTACAGAGTGCAGCCCCTTCGGTGTCCGTGTGAACGGAATCAAGTAAGTGAAGTTAAACTAATTGAATTTTCAATTTGCCATGTTGCGTTTTCCTCAGTGTGGATACTTTAGGACTTATGGTATTCAATTAATATTCCTAACCCAGGGGTTTCCAAACTAGGGTACATGTACCCCCTGGGGTACATTTTGACTTTTCAATGCGTCCGTGGAATTAAGTACAATGATATTCTTCCCATATTTATGGCTTGGGCTTCTACAAAAGATCTGAAAATTTCAAAGCCATTGGTCCAGTGGTTGAAGCTTTGCGATATTTTCACAACAACAAGAACAACAGGAAGCAAAACGAAAATATCAGCAACAACATAATATATACCTAAACGACCCCGGATCCATACGTCCATTTCGTGTCCAATAAAAACAAAACTATCCTTAGACCCATTTCGTGTCCAATAATTACAGAACGATTCATAGACCATTTCGTGTCCAATACGTTGTGCATCAAAGCATGTTAAGCTTGAAGATATGATAAAATTCGGGGGTACACTAGCAATTTGAAAAAATGTCAAACTGGCACCAATGAAAAAAAGCAAACCCCGTCCCAGCCTAATATTCCTATACCGTTGTTGAATGTCCTGCTATAGCACATATGAAAAAAATGATGCAAATCCTATTCTACATCTCTTTTCCACAGTCCAGCTGTCGTTATGACGAGAATTGCAGAAACATCTGAAATGCCGAAGGATTCCGCGGAAAAGGCAAGTTTATGTAACTGATAACAGAACTAAAAAGAACAAAATAATAATAAAAATTGTTTTTATTTAGATGCTTGCGAATTTAAAAGATCAACAACCGTTTGGAATTATTCAACCAGAAGCAATAGCTGATGGAATCTTGTTTCTTTGTACCTCTGCTCATATCACGGGAATATCACTGCTCGTAGATTCGGGATTTTTGACTACAATTTAAAACGCTCTGTAAAACCTTGCTATTTATATTTTGAAAGAATGAAAGACTATTAATCCGTATGTTTGAGTCTGTTGTAAACTGAGAATTATTTGTATATATAATCAAAATGTTCAGGAATAAAATGGCTATCGAATGCTGGAGAAAGCAACACTCACGGACATTTGCACGCACGCTCATTTGCAACAATCCATATTTGCACCACATATGAGTACATTTGCATCCACTAATATTTGGGTTTCAAACAAAATGTCATTTTGTCATTCTAATTAGATTTCCCCCTAGGTTACTTTGGGGCACTGTAACCGTTTGTACAAGTCAGTAATGTAAACCGATGAGAATATATATATTGTGCAGGGGTGGCCAACCTACTTTCGACCGCGATCGACTGAAGGTAACGAGTTCATGCACAAAAACGAATGTGTACAGAATATGCAAAAAATTTCCATCGCCACCAAAAAGGTCGGATCTGTGGGCGCATTTTTAATGAAATTACCGCAAAAATTCCATTACAGAGTAAGTTCATTTTCAAACCTTGGTAGCGGCGAAATTTCCCTTAGTTACGAAATACAATGCTCTATCGGGCTTGCCCAGACTCAAATACTATGTATATATATATCGTATTTGTCGCATAAACAGTACTTTTTTTGTCCTGTTTTAAAACACACAGCAGGCGGTGCATGGAACTGGCTCAAGACAATTTTCTATTAAAATCACTCAACATCAGACGCGATTGACCACTCAAAATGTGACGATCGACCGGTCGTCGCGATCGACGTGTTGGTCACCCCATTGAACACGGAATCATTGCAAACCTGCACGCGATTGATTTGGATTTCCACTCATCAACTTCCATCAATAACTGGAAACTGTTTTTCATGCTAAAAAAAAACTGCCATTGTTTTAACAGCACAGACATTACTGATTTTAGCACAAAACTTCCAGTGAGTAGTGTTATCCAGTGAACGTGTTGAATTTCAAAAAATAGGGCTGTGAGCTCAAAATTCATTAAATTTACCAAACTATTTCTTAACGAAACTTTCTACTATTGTATTTGGAGACACTATCCATTGGCCAAGTTAACTAAATAATTCAAAATTACAATTTTTTATTTATGGGAATCCAGCATGAGAGTCTGAACGTGATTTCCGCCGGGAGTGCAATTAAATGTCCAAAAAAAGTCTAAAGATTGGCTCCTGCACTGACATCTGTTATCTGAACATCCCAATACCCCAAATCGGCACAGTAAATTAATTTCCACCGTTATAACAATTCATATTAGTTGGGCATAGGGTATATCGTTCAGAGTTCAGACGACGCGTTAGTTTGACGTAATGCCACGCACTGGCCCTATATGAGCAAAATAGAAAAGTTGTGGACGAAACACCGATCCCGGAAAATTATAAAAAAAAAGAAAAAAAAGGGAAGAGCATTATGACATCCTCCTATATATCGAATGATAACAATTTAAATAAAACGTTCATATATATGTAAATTTTGTGTTCTAAAAGTGCGGCTGTTATTTGACGGTAGCGTGATATTGGTGTTAAGGGGCTGAAATAGCAATTTGAGGGTTGCCTAGACGAATGTCATTCATCATCAATCGTACCAGTCATAGTCAACCTTAGCGACTTTTGTCGGATGGATTTGCCTGATTATTGATACTCAATGTAAAATTGTTTCACATTCTAATACTTGGAAATCCGTTTATCAAAGCGTGGATTTAGCTCAAGTGTGTAAATAATGCATTGGTTGTCAAACAAGTATCATGGCTTTATGCGAAGTGTAAAGCGCATCCTTGTTTGCACTGACATTCACAGAATGTTAGCGTGATGAGATTTATCAGTCTGCGTATATTTTGTTAACAGTTTATGGCAGTGTTGGACTGTGATAATTCAGAAACGCCAAGTTAGATAGAGATGTCATTTAGCGGAAAAGTTGTCATAATTACAGGTAAATTAGTAAAAAACATGTTTGATTTAAAAAAAAGACAATGTGCACTTGTATGCAGACAAGTATCAATACTACTAAGTAGCTTATCTATCACTGGTGTTATAAAGAGTTGACAGCATATCGTCCTAATGTCTTTCAAAATCACGAACAAGCTTGAAAACGCATTTCACCACAATTTTGATTAGGTCTTCTTAAATTAAGGTGCCTCCAGCGGAATCGGAGCTGCAACTGCTATTGCATTTTCAAAAGAAGGAGCCAAGTTATCAATTTGTGGCAGAAACAAAGAAAGGTTATCAGAAACAGCCAAAGAATGCCAAGAAAATGGTGCCGAGGTTAGTTTTAGGCTGGTATTCTACAAAATAATCCCAATCAGGTAACATATTTCCTTATAGTATATCTTTTTTGGAGTTTAAAAAGTATATAAATTTTTATATTAAATTAAACAGATATTTAAAACAGTAGTGTTTAGTAACTACCCCTTGAAGATGGAAATTTTTAAAAGTGTACAAAAGTGTATGTTATACATGCTTACGTTATAAATAATATTTCAGGTTTTAGAAATTATTGGAGATTTGTTAGAATTTGAACATTTGGAACATTGTATTGACAAAACAGTCGAGAAATTTTCTGCTATTGACGTGTTGATTAATAATGCAGGACGTTCATTGGCTAAACCTTTCGAGAATGTGAGTTTGATATTACCGCTTTTGATATTAATGTTGGTAGGAATACTGACATTTCTTTATATTTTGCTCCGATAAATACAGTAACCTTTAAGGAATGAATGTTGTATTAAATATTCAAATTTAACGTGTTCACCTAATTTTAAAGTTCTTAATCAGCCGTTCCCAACTTTTTGTTCTCGCGGCGCCAAATTATCAGGAAAAAAACTCACGGCGCACTTGAAAAAAATTGCTGGTTTTCAACGAAAACTCAATTTTGTGATCGTTAATGTGTACTTTACGCTTTTTAAAGTTTGTAAACATGTAGGCCTAATGAAAGATTGTATTATGGTCAAAGAGTAGCCAATTGTGTAAATTATACAAGTTGGGAAAATGTGACCTAAAAATCTACCCATTGACATAATAATTTACTCAACTAATGAAAAAAGGGAAAACACATATAATATAAATGTGAAAATGTACAACAATTATGATGTCGTCGTCAGGAGCCAAGTATAGTTTTTCTTATCTTACGAATCCTATTTTTCGACCACAGTAAAAAGTCGAAAAATTGACTGCACAAATCCACATATTTATTTAACTTAACTTCTAAGCCTTGAAAGAAATACTTTTCAGTTTTGATATTTTCAGACAGAAGAACCTGATTTTGACATGATGTTTCGGATACTCGTCCGAGCGCCCGTTTTTCTCTGCAAATATGCTTTGCCCCATCTGAAGAAAACAAAAGGTACTTTATATAAAAGTTTCCGTGATGGCCATGGAATATATACATAAGCTTATCGACGTCTCGTACCAGACGTTACGGCTCAGACCATTTGGACCAATATACAAATTTCTTATTTCGTTACTACAAATAGTAAAATTAACGTATTTTGGCAATGGAAGTTAAACAGTTCGTCATATTATTAAGTTTTTTAGTAAATACAATTAATAAAAATGGAGGTGAGTGTAAAAGTTTGACGCAAACTAAACAACACGATATTTGATTTCTAACACTCGGTATAGGTCGTGGAACCGCCACACGGTGCGCAATTTTTAATTCTGATGACGTCTAGACACAAAATCAAAAAACGAATCGCATAGAGCCCACCTGAATTTTGTCGTAACAATGATAATAGAAACAAGTAGAACAACATCAAAATAACAAAACAATGCATAGGTTCACTTCTTGTTCAAAAACAAAAAAAAAAATTCGGCATCGTGGACCCAAACGTCTGTGTAACGATGTTTATTCATAATATTTAGCGACGCTGATAATCAATATATAAATTGTTAAATTGATTTTTCATTTGAAATGCACATAAATCAAGTTAATTGAGAGCAAACGTGTATGAATAAATATATATAATAAAAAATTTCAACATAAAGAAATTACATTTTGTAATTTGAAATTTCAGGATGTGTAGTGAATGTGTCGAGTGTTGCATCACTATGCACAAAAATAGGAGACCTCCCATACCAAATGTTTAAATGTGCTTTGAATCACTTCACGAAAGGATTTGCAGCAGGCAAATATTATCTAAATAAATTTAATTATTTAATAACACGAGTGGGTGTCTCAAAAAAGTCGTGTCCCACTTGTCTAACGTCTCCCACTTGTTTCGGGGAGAAGTGGGACAAGTGAGACACTTGGGACAAGTAAGACACGTGGGACACGACATTTTCGATACACCGACACATACTATCCTACTTCGTTCGATTGCGATGAACAATAAGATGAAAACAACTTTGTATTTGCTGTACTATTACTACAGTAATATTTTTTAGTTCTTTATTATTACTAAAATTTAATAAATTTTTTGCAAAAAATGAAAATCGTCACACTATACCGTTTCTCCATTAGCAAATTTTAAAATCTATTTTAAAATTGTGATTCTGATTTTTGAGATTTGTATGAAATATTGATGAAGCGTTAAGTTGAAATATAGCTCCAGCTTGATAAAATTTTTGCTTTTAACTCAAATTAGATTGAATGAAATGAAAATAAATGATACAAACCATTAAATGTATTTCATCAAACATTACAACACCTATTTTACAGAGTGCAGTCCATTTGGTATCCGTGTGAACAGCATCAAGTAAGAAGATTTGGAACTAAAAATAAGATTTATAAACAACTTGAATTTGTTATCAACAGATAAAATTAATAAATTTCTACGGAGCAGAACTAAATTGTTCATAAATGTATTTTTTACTGTTTTTGATTGGAATTATATCATTGGATGATTGCAAGCGCTTCCTTTTTTTCTTGTATGGTAAACTCTATTTCAAGCTTTTTGCCTTGACTTCGACTGTCTGATGCTTGAACTCCTTGAGCAAGCTCTATTTAAATAATAAAAATATCACAAGTATCGTATTTACAGCCCATCTGTGGTCATGACAAGATTTGCAGAAACATCAGGATTTTCAATGGAAGTCATGGACAAGGCGAGTAAATATATTTTGTTATTGAATTTATCGATTTGATTTACGACTTGACTGAATGCATCATATAAATATCATCGCCCCAGCTCGCCGGAGTCGAAAAAAATTCAACATAACTTTTATTTCAAGCTCCTGTCCACTCAGACTCGCTACCTCACGAAATGTCTAATAAATGAGATTTCCACTAAAATTATTTAAATTTTATTCGAAATAAAAACGAAGTTTTCTGAAGAGTTGAAATAATTCAAATTTTAAATTTTTAGGTCGTTGAACGGTTCAAGAATAATCATCCTCTTGGAATAATTCAACCTGAAACAATAGCCGCTGGAATTATGTTTCTGTGTACTTCTCCCCATATTACCGGAATATTATTGCCAGTAGACTCGGGATTTTTGGGTACAATTTGAGATGCTGTGAATAGCCTATATTGCCTTTCATATTTTGACAAAAAAGAAAACTTGCCGTTAAATGTTTTTTTTTTTTGAAAATACAGTACTTCAACAATGAGGTTAATTGGTTATGCATGGTTAAATTGGTTATGCAAAATGTTCAGAAATATTTGTTTCAAAACAAGCCTTGTTACCTTGTTACAGGTTTTCATTTTTCTCCATTTATATAGGTGTTTGAAAGTTTACCATTCTGAAATAAACACAGAAACATGTAACAAAAATACAAATCGTGCGCAATAAGTATATCATCAATGACACAAAACAGAATCAAAATGAAGCGATAACATATTTCTCAAACAATAATATGAAACAAAATTATTAACACACACATGTGCATTTCAGAATGTTTTTTGAGTGTGTTTTGGGGAGTTGGCGCTTACAATCTGGTTTATATATATCAGGGGTGGGCACACCGCGGCTCGCGAGCCGCATGCGGCTCGCCAGACTTTTTGTGCGGCTCTTCTCGCTAACATAAATTATTATCCAAATTTTAACTAAGAGAAAAACTTTAATGTAAACTCTGTTAATTTATTAAAAGTCGTAAAGAAGTTTTCGTCAATGATTAATAAGACAAATTATGTTTTAGTATGAAAATCGCTGTAGCGTTGAATTTAAGTCAGCAAATCTTTCGTCACACTGGTCAATGTTTATTGATGCGTCGGCTGTATTGCAGCTTGATTGCGGTTAGTTAGTCTAAGTTACTGGACGATATGTCCTCAATTAAGAAACTAAAGTACGAAGATGAAAACAGAGTTGTCAAGTCAGAATGGGAAGAAGAATACGCATTTACCAGTCAGGAGAATAAACCTTTGTGCTTAATCTGACATAAGCTACTAAGTCAGAATAAAGTCAGCAATGTTAAACGGCACCATGAAACAAATCATGAAAGCTTCTTACGAGACTACCCTCGTAAATCAACTATAAGGAAACACAAATTAAATGAGCTCAAATTGTGCATATATTTGAGCATAGCTGCCTTGTTTATCTATTTATTGTTATTAGACTCTTGTGTGAATTTCTTTTCTGTTCATGGTATTTTGATAATAATAATAAATTCTACGGCTCTTATAAATTTCTGACTGGCAGCATGCGGCTCTTTTACTAAAAAATTGTGCCCACCCCTGATATATATGTTCAAAAACATCATTTTCATTACAACTATTTGACCACGTGTCGCTTACAGGTTAAGCTTGTTTGTCGCAGCGTTTGCTGGACTAATTTTTTAACTGCAACTAAACTAGAGCTCCTCGGAAGACATAATGAATATTCAGCAGTGGCGGCGCGTCAATAGGGCCAACCGGGGCAATGCCCCGGTTGTTTTTTCGGTATAATAAAAAATATTCGAAAAATACCTCAATATCGGTTGCACAGACTGTCTACACTAGCCATATTCTCCCGACATGGTTCATTTTTCGCTCGCAAAGCCTTCGCCGAACGTCGACGGGGCGACGCCGATTTTGCCCCGGTTGCTCATTGTATATCGTATTCTCTCTTTTATCTTCCACTCGCCGCGTTTGTCTCGTTTGTGTTCTGTTTCTTTTACTAAATCATCGGGGCTAGCCCCGAAATTATGACGACACAATGCCGACGTTTCTTACAACAACGTGTTGACATATTCTCGCATTCCTTCTCGTTCGTTGGTTGCTTGAAGAGTTGATAGTTTCCTCGCCTTCGTTTTTGTCGCTTGTTTCGCTATTTGAATCAGTTAGAGACCTTTAGTCCATTTGCTTTTGATTTTCCACATTCCTTTTGAGCTTCTCACTTCTTTCCGGCTTCGCATTTCTTAGCCTTAGACCTCATAATGAATAAGGTTGATGCACTACTTCGAACTCCGTTTTCGCAGCTGCCGCTGGAACAAAAATTAGAGGTACAACGTCTTGGGCCTTATCAACCAAAAAATTGTTCACTGGAACAATCCCATGACGGAGGAAAGCGTTGGCGTACATTCTGCGCAGAAACTTGGTATAAAAAACACGAATGGTTGTGTTACAGCGAGAACAAAAATGCACTTTTTTGTTTTTATTGCCTACTTTTTGCTACCGCCCGTGACTCACGTTGGTGTAAATTTGGTTTTAGAGATCTTAAACATCTTTTCGAGCGTGCCAGGGATCATCAATCTTCTATGGAGCATCTGGACAATGCAGTAAAATACCGAACATTCGAAAATGTTAATATTGCGGCACAGTTGGATGAAGGACGCGCGGTTTCTATTCGTCGGCACAACCAAAACGTCGAGAAAAACCGCCATGTTCTCGATCGATTGATAGATGTTTTGAAGTTCATTGGTTGTCACGAGCTGTCCCTCCGTGGGCACGATGAACGGGCTGGCTCTTCTAATAGAGGGGTATTTTTGGATATGGTGGAATACACCGCATCCCTAGATACAGTATTGAGAGATCATCTTGATGCCGCAACTGTTTCGAAAGGGACATCTAGGGATATCCAAAATGATTTGCTCGACTCAATGTATAAAATTTATTTACAACATTTGGCTCTGGAAATTGAGAATTGCCAGTTCCTTTCGATTCAGTCTGACGAGACAACTGACATCACGTGCCTTTCCCAACTGGCTGTGATTTTTCGGTTTGTGAAAGATGGTAAACCTACCGAGAGATTTCACAGCTTTGTACCAATCGTTGATCGCACGGCTTGCGGGATATCGGCTGTACTGAAAGAAGTGTTACAGCCTTACAACGCGAAGTCAAAATTGATAGCTCAAACTTATGACGGCGCGGCAGTCATGAGTGGGTCGAAACATGGTGTTCAAGTTTATATAAAAGAAGATTTTCCTCATGCGCATTGTTATGCACACCAATTTAACCTCGTTATTAAAAATATGTGTCTTGATCCCCCTCTCGTCCGTATATTTTTTGCAAATGTTTCGTGGTTTTCTTCATTTTTTTCCGTTACGCCGAAGCGCTCTGACCTCCTTCGCCAGATATGTAGCCGCCGTCTCCCAGCTTGTGCACCAACACGTTGGAACTTCCAATCACGCGTGGTGCAGGGCGTGTCCGAAATTAGGTCTGAGCTCATTGAGTGTTTCAATGGCATTCAGAGCTCTCCGGTTTGGGACGAACGCTCTGTGAGGGAGGCGGCAGGTCTAAAGCGTCTGCTAGAAGATGGTGAGTTTTCATTTTTTCTCGCTTTTTTCTCCACAATATTCTATCACGTGGATGTATTATACGGCGCATTGCAGTCAAGGCTAATGGATGGAGCGTCTGTGCAGTCGTGTATTTCAGACTTCTGCGATGCTGTATCTCGTATCCGGGAAACAATAAAATACGACGACACATGGAGTGCTTCTTTACGCCGCGGGCAAACAACGCAGCGTTTGATTTTGTCTGCAAAGGAATGCTGTGACATTCTGGTGAATCAAATAGGTGATCGTCTGCGCACTGAACACCTTGCCGCATTCTCTTTGATGAACCCCAAAAATTTTTCAAAATTTGCACGTCAATTTCCCATCCATTTGTTGGCTACTGTCTCCAAATTTTACCCCATGATAAACGTGGGTAAATTGGAAAATGAATTGCGATGTATATACACCAATCAAACTTTTTTGAACATCACATCAACTTGCGCGCTCTATGGGTTCCTCATAGATAACACTCTAGTAACTACCTTTGCGGCGTCTGCAAAATTTCTGGACATCATTTTGACGACGCCTATTTCTTCCGCCGACGCAGAGCGAACATTCAGCACGCTGAAGCGTATTAAAACGTGTCTCAGAAACACAATGAAGCAAGATAGATTAAATTCCTTGGCTGTTTTATCCATTCACAGAGACTTTATTTCTGGGATGCATGACTTTAATCAGCGCGTTATTGAGCATTTTGCTTCCAAGAAACCGCGGCGTGTTGCATATATGTTCAAGCAGTAGAAGTCTAGCAGCATATATATCTATGAGTGAGCGACGCATGTCCTTATCTTTGCATTCTTCATAGTAACGTTTTAAACCTTATTTTAGGTTTTGTCTGCTTTCCCGAAGTTTCTCTTAATATGTCATTGTATTTATCTGGGTAAATATTGCCTTTCTTTTTGAAAGAGGTTTCAAAATAAACTATGTCTATATTTATTAATCCCTTGACTTGGACCGGTTTTAAAGACACTTTCTTATCGTTAAAAATTGTCGCTTTTGCCGATTGGTTGTTACCGATGGAATGGTTTTTATACTCATAAAATGATGGGAGAACTTACAGCGCTCATCCTGTCCCCGTAGATGGGGGTGACTTGGTCCCGCAGTAGCTTGCCCCGGTTGTCAAAATGACCACGCGCCGCCACTGAATTATTCAGGTATTTAATTTAGAACTAGTTACTAGATTCCTGAGCATGAAACATCGACATGCAGGGCCGGATCATGCCTTTCAGGTGCCTCAGGCACTTGAGACTTTGGTGCCCTATATATATATAAAAAGTAATAATTATAGTATTGTAACTACTGTTCCATGTTATCTGAAATTGAATAAGTAAGTTTCAATAAGGATGTTTTCACGAGAATCGATTTCTTTTTTGATTGCGTGACAGTGACCAATCAGCAATGAGTTAACAATGACGAAACAAGAGAGCAACGCTCAAATATATTGACACGTGGACTAGTGCGAAGCAGGGTTTACCTTTGACGTTACCGGCACCGTACCCTCAAAAAGTTCCGGGTTTTCAGTCGCAAGGATTTTCACAGTCCGCCGTCACGCTTGGCGGATTAAAAACCGTGTTCCCATAATTAAAAATTAATACAGCGCAATTTTGGATGAAATATTAGATCTCATAAGATTCATAGAAAATTCAGGAATAAATGAAAGTAATAGCCTTTTGGCAAAAAAATCAATCTTGAACCACTGAAAATTCCAAAGCAATTGGTCCAGTATTCGAAGAGAAAGGCGATTTTTTAATGATAATGACGAAAGAAAATAACAATAACAACAACATTTTGAAACGATCGTTATGGGCACTAAACGTGTCCAATAATTGCACTTTGTCTAACCACCCAAACAGATATCCAAGCATCGTTGTAAGCTATGCTTTGTTTTCGTTGTTTTGCGCGTTACTTGTCAATTTGAATTGTGTTTTCAAAAACTAGTTCTAAATTAAATGATTCAATATTCATTATGTCTTCCGAGGGGCTTTAGTTTAGTTAAAAATTAGTCCAGCAAACGCTGCGAGAAACAAGCTCAACCTGTAAGCGGCACGTGGTCAAATAGTTGTAATGAAAATGATGTTTTTGAACATATATATAAATCAGATTGTAAGCGCCAACTCTCCACAACACTCTCAAAATAAGCATATTTTGCCATTATTTTAAAAACTCTTATATTATACAGGTTTATTTTAATTTTTTGTCAAAATCACAAACTTATCAATAAATATCAATTTGGTTTATAAAGCAACCATAAATAAATTAACAAATCATGCATTGATCGATTCGGTTGAAAACACCTTTTTTATAGAAGGCTCTGACGCTGTTAACCGTGATATATTCTTTTTATACAACATCCTTATAGTATCTGTGAATGTGCCAACAATTTTTTAAAGACTACCGAACATCAAAACAAGTGAACGATGCTCAAATATATGGACACGAAAGCCAAAACGAAGTAGAACGGGCATGAAATCTGACATAGTGGACAACAGGCAGTGGCGTAACTACCCATTGGATCTTGTAAATCCAGGGGCGGTACGTTGCTGGAGGGCAGCAAAATGTGGCAAAACATTATAAACGAAGCGGAAAAATGTTTTAAATGAACCAAGGCAGTCACATGACCTAATTCACCAATGAAGCCAAAAAATTACACAAGATATACGTTTGAACCAGGTGTTTTATGGCTCGTGGCCCCCTTCCAGCGCCTATTTGCACTCGCGGTCTTCGTGTTCGCCATTCCAAAAAACGAAACGTGTTGGATTGTATTATGTGTTTACGACGTATTATGGAATGCAAAAGCAATCCACAGACAAGAAAGTAAACGCTCTCCAGTATACAATCAAAGGGAATCTTGCGCTTAGGACCGTCTGACGAGGTTTATCGTATTAGAAAAATTGGCTTTTGCTCTGACAGAAACCCGAACTTAGTCAATGTGCGTTCCTGTCAAATCTAACTCGGGGGGGGGGGGGGGGGGTATTTTGGAGTTCAGATGGACGTAATGATTTATTGCTCATTACATACGAGCAATGCCAGCATTAATCACATTCTCTGGCATCTCAGTTTACGTTGGTAAAGTCAACGGAACTGTTGTTGTTGTTAGTACATCTTTCTGTGCTTGAAGGCCCAAGAACGCAGCTATTCATGTGTTCATCCAAAACGATACTGTAGTTCAATTTTCGTAATTGCGTCTATAATACGCTAGCGAAGGTTATCTCGCAGTCGAGTGGAACTGCCATTCTGTAGGTTAGACCTGACGGCCTACCGGCGAACTATTTTCATTGGTAGAGTTCAAATTCCATTATGATCAAACAATTCACGCGCAAGAAAGTGAATACACCCTGACCCTGTGATCGCAAATAATCCTATTCAGGTAATGAAACTGCCGTGGGAAGTATGCAAACGAAGTCGCTATATAATAAATTATTAGTCTTGTGTCGTGGCCCCCCTCGAACTGCTTCGTGGCCCCTGTAGGGAGCCCTCGGATGAGAACCACTGCACTAGTACAATCAAGTGATTTTACATTTAAAAATGACGCTACAGCGCTGGACGTAATACAGTGGTTTGCAAACATCGCTTATGTGAATCAACACCTTATTTATTCACGAGTCTCAAGCTTTACCTCACTATTGCTGTTTCTTTCACAAGCTGCGAATTACGAGGTCAAGGCCTAAGTTGGAAAAGTTTTACTTGAGATCGACTATGGGAGAAAGCAGGCTGCCTGTGCCAGCAATACTGCCCATTTAAAGTGATTTAGTCGAGACATTATCTTCTGACGATATAATTTCTGAATTTGCTTCAATGAAAACTAGACATTGAATTAGAAACTTTCGATAAAATTTACTATTCACTGCTTTAATTCTTCTATTGTGTGGAATTTTATTGAGCTTTTACGACGGTGTTGAGGGGGCGGTATTCCGGGCAAAGATCCAGGGGCGCCACATTGCGTTGTTACGCCACTGACTACAGGTAAGGCAGTCTTCACGAATATCGTGAAAATGGAACCGCCACAAGGCGCGCAATTTTTGATGATATCATCGCACACAAAAATGAAACTCATACTCATACGCACACAAAATTTTGACATAAATAAAATTAATTACTTTCTAGAGAAATACACAATCTCTAACCAAAGAAAGTTGATCCAGTAATCAATGAAAAAAAAAGAGATTTTTATTCGGTGACAAACAAGAATTAGAAAAAGAATTCGAACAGCAAAATAATAATAAAACGATCCATATGTACATTTCGTGTCCAATAATTTCATGTTCAGTCGCTTGAAATGCATGGTCATGCAACAGAAAGAACCAATTTTGATAACAGCACTTATTGGTAATTGGTATAAGCAATGATCTCATAGCTAAGAATTTTGATTAACCTACTCGCAATTGAATAAATCCCAAGTTTTTCGAATTCTAACATGTTAGTTACTATCATTATTTGTGTTGCAACATACAAGCATTTGTCCCAGCTGTGATTATACGCGACCTACATTACTGCTAAGTCAGATATTTGGTTAATAATTTACAAGCACTAACTGAACTTGGTAGGCTGTGTTAATGAAATGAGTCAAGAGTAGGAAGTCATGAAGCAATTCAGCGGAAAAGTTATCATAATAACAGGTAAAGTAAACTAGATTATAGGCCTACCAGTATAAAAATGAGAACTTTAAATGATTTATACTTGAAATAATATTATCAAATAAAACAAAAGAGCTACGCCCAAATATATGGACACGTCTGTTCGCAGTACAGTACGTTGTACCGTACCGTCAGATCACAGTCTACAAATATATTCACACCAAGCGAAGCAGTACAGTAGGACACAAAATGGCGTCCCATGACAGCAGAACGTTTAATGACGTCATAGCAAACAAAAACAAATCTCACAGAGCTAATAGAAATATTTAAAATGAATAAAAGTAATAGCCGTCTGCGGAAAAATTTTATCTTCAACCACTGGAAATTTCAAAGCAATTGGTCCAGTATTCGAAGAGAAAAGCGGTTATTTAATATTTCCATTTGGTGTGTTATTCTGTGTCAAATAACAACAAGAACAAGAACAACATAATATTGAAACGATCGTTATGTCCACTACGTGTCCAATAAAAATAATAATCTGTAGAATAATATCGTCATTGGGTGATAGCTTAGCGACTTTGATATCCAGAAAGTTTATCGTGGGAAATTCAGACAAACAGCTATAACAAAATACCACACCGGTATATTTCACAAAATACACCTTAAATAGTGTTTAAAAAACTAACTGTCTGTATAATTGCGCATTTCATTACCGCGATGTGAAATGAGATTATTGATTATAACGTTAGAAGGATTTAACACAGCGGCGGCCATTCTATACTACAAACTAAGGTTCGTTCCCAAGACATTGTCACCAATTCGTATTTATGACCTGATAAATAGCAATTAAAAATTTGAAAACTGCAATGACCAGACTCAAACATAATGATAATATCAAATTTGTTCCATATATTTTTAAAACATTTGCTACGAATCTTTTAAGTCCAAGCTCGTACAATTTATTATATGGGTGCCTCGCGCTTTCAAAAATCGTCGTATTCAGTTTTATGTAAGTCAATATCTTCATCAAATATTTGCGAAAAGCAGGATGTGATTGTTCCACCTTTAAACCCTTTACAGTCTACAATTACGTGGACTTATAGTTGTTTTCCCATACCTTTGAATTGATGATAAACTTGGACCTTCTACTTTTAAACGGTATTCGCTGGCTTCTTTCATGGGCAATACATTTTAAAAATTATTCCAGGTGCTTCTAGCGGAATTGGTGCTGCTACTGCAATAGCGTTCTCGAAAGAAGGAGCCAAGTTGACAATTTGTGGAAGAAACAAAGAAAGGTTATCCGAAACAGCAACAGAATGCATTGAAAATGGCGCTGAAGTTAGTTATTAAAAAACATAATTCCGGTTACGCCGTATCCGGTCGTTAAATTCGTAAAATAAGGAGATTTTTTTTCATCAATTGCTTTCGTTCTCAAAATTGAGAGCCACGCATAAAGAGAAATTTGTTGAAGTTCAATGGATTCCGCGATATATATATATATATTTTTTTTTTATTTGTAACTCTTTACATATGAAGGGTTCTTGTCGATGTGTCAGTATGAAAACGTAAATTAATGTGCAATATATTACAGGTTTTGGAAATAGACGGAGATTTAACGGAGTTTGAACATTTGGAACCAATTGTCAACAAGACTGTTGAGAAATTTTCGGCTATTGACATTTTAGTTAACAATGCAGGATGTAGTGTGTATAGATCTATTGGCGATGTAAGTTATTTTCACTAAAACTCCACTTTTTTACTGAAACATGCCATATATTGAATGAACGAAAAGGCTCAAGCACCAGAGAAATTTAGTGCTGCTTTGGTATTCAATCTCATCATTTGTACCAATTTAAAACCAGAACATGTTGTTGAATTTTATTCACCACAAATTCAATTAGGATCTTATTTTAAACAGGACTTTGTCCTCGTCTAATCTTAATCACTGATAATTACGACTTAATTACTTATTGCATTTAATCGATATGTTTTTATTTTATGTGGCGTCGCATAACAAATTATCAGTACCAGACGAGGACAAAGACCCATTGCTACACTGAGTGCACTTTTGGATCCTTATACTTACCAATTTTATATTTTTACTACAAGAACTTCTAATTTTTGCAATTTCTCAACTCCCAGGGGTGGCCAAACTAAATAGATATATCTGATATACACAGTATTATGAACCAAGCCTATTTTAGAACACTCAATAATAGCTACCGCATCGCACCTCCTAAAAAGGATGCCTTGTATTGTTACCCAAAAAACAATATTCATACATATTTTCGGTCATTTTCAGACAAAGGTTGAAGATTTCGACATGTTATTTCAGATACTACTTCGGGCTCCTGTATTCTTGAGCAAATATGCCTTGCCTCATTTGAAGAAAACAAAAGGTTATTCTTTTTTTCATTTGACTTTTTTCAAAGAAAAACATAGGGTATAGATTTACAAAAGCTCAAAGATAAAAAAAAAAGGGAAAAATTTTATCTTTATGCAACCCCAGACTTCACTACATCTTAGGCTTGTATATTCCATCATACAAATGTTTAGTCATAGAAACTTAGCGTCACAACTATCACTTGAAACAAAAAATGTCTCAAATGTTTTTAACCATGCCGAGTCAAAAGCGAGCATGTCAAATAGTAACAATTTTCTATTTTTTTTCTGATACCATTTCAGGATGCATTGTAAACGTGTCGAGTGTAGCAGCAATGATGAGTTCACCAAACGGTGTTCCTTATAAAATGTTTAAAGGCGCTCTGGATCACTTTACAAAAGGTTTTGCTTCAGGTCGGTTACGTATGCTAATGATTAAATACCCTACGTCTAATAAAATATTCATCGAGTAAAATAGCATTTTGTGCAAAATGACGGGTTTCAGTATAGTTGAAAAAAGATGTAAATTTTCCAAAGTTCTGAATTCTGAGCTAAATGGGGTCTGGGTATTTTTCAAGAACATTATTGAAGTATTAACACATAAACCTTTTAAATAAATGAGAAGAAAGATCCTGCCTTGAGATGACGAAGCTGAACGTTACGCGTTAAGTGGACGACGAATATTTTATGCACAGAAACGAATCAGTGGGTTCTCCCACTTCGATCCAGAACAAAAGCAAACGTAGCGTTACGTTACTTCTATTTGTTAAAGATTTTATATTTTAGGAACTTGCTGACGAATTGTAGGCTACTGAAGGAAGTTATATCTCATTAAATCTAAACGGTTAGTAGTGACTGGGTCTGATGAAAAGTGCAGTGGAGCAGTAACTGTTGTATTAATGGAAGTTGCAACGTACGCGAGTTAGTAATTTGAATTGCAGTTTTCTCTGCATTATTAAATTTTACTATCAGTCTCCGGGGATGGCGGAAAATTGGCCTTGCCATGTGGTTAGTAATGAAAGGGGTTTAAAGAACACTTTAGCACTTGCGAAAACGATAGACAAGTAGTCTATGACTCTATGATACCAAAATAACCGCGACTATAAGTAAGAAGTCGTGGACTATGTAAATAAGCCCAAAGCGCTATGCCCATTATATATATATGTGTGTCAACTAATTATCACATTTAAAAAATCGTCTTTGCGTGTTTATTTTTGTTTTACAGAGTGCAGTCTGTTCGGTGTTCGTGTAAACAGCATAAAGTAAGCATAAAAAAATTCTTATTGGAGCTGAACTATTGCGTGATATATATGTATATTGGCTAAGAGGAGAGCTAGGAGATCAAAACTCGTTTCAAATATTTTAATTCAAGACACAACTAGTAGTGATATGCGTTTGAATTCTATTCTCAGTGTGTTACTACTATTTTCCAAGTGTACCATTTCAAAATAAAAATCAACTATTAAACCTTCCATGTATTAATCGTTCACTTCAATTTACTAGCGTCATAGATGTACCGAACGTAATTTTTTCAATTAGAGAATTAACTGATTTAATTTTACAGTCCAGCTCTTGTCCATACAAGAATATTAGACACATTCGGACTAGCCAAGGACGTACTAGAAAAGGCAAGTGAATTTATTATTGCACCAATAAACTCAATAAGAACGAAAACTGACTGACGAAAAAATATTAATAATATTTAATTTAATATTATTTTGTTTAGCTTATCGAGAAATCTGAAGCCCTGCATCATTTTGGGGTAATGCAACCAGGAACAATAGCAGACGGAATCAAATTTTTGTGCTCATCTCCTCACATTACTGGAATTACACTACCAGTTACTTCGGGTCTTTCAGTATAAATGTGTAATAAAAGTTTCTTTCTGTGGTTTGGAAAAATATAAAGCTTATTGGCATGTTTGCTCGATTGCAAACCAATGGGTAATGAAGACACAAAAAACTAGATAATGTACTTGCGGGAACGATCGATAATGTAAATCAAGAAATGAGGACTTAGGCTACTGACCAACATTCTAGGCAACCAATCCATGTTTATAGTTACATATAAGCTGGCTGCGCTGTAGGATTTTGAAATGTAACTAATGTCTGAAAAATATAAAAATGAAATAAAGTCAAGTTGAGCGCCTCATTTCACCAAGGTAGATAAATAATGTGACAAATACAATAAGACAAGTACCCGTAACAGACAGCATATAATCATATACTTATTGTTAAAATTGTCAAAGGTTTACGGCAGGGGTCGGCAACCTTTTGTCGCTCACGGGCCAAAATTAAGGATTGCAACTTGCAAGTCATTGGCGGACTGCACATATTTATAGAAAGATGAAAACCGAACGAATGAAACTTTTTATAATAAAAATTAAGCAGTGATACATCTCTCCAATAGAATATAGATTTATTCCGTCGTTTGATTTTTAAAAAATTTCATTTGAATATTTTCGGCGCCGTTGAACACTTTGCACTTAGCATCAAAAATGTCTGCGTTTTGTTGCCATTTGTCTAACTATAATTATAGGCTCATTAAACGAGTAATTGTGATTATATACATGTTAGGTTATAATATAATTTAGTCTACACGTGTCTCACAATAAATTCTGTTACGTAAAGAATGTAATCGTCGAAACAGCTGTTTTGTTACTATAATTCAGTGAAGCGTCGCGGCCGGATTATATTACTCGGGCCCGCGGGCCGTAGGTTGCCGACCCCTGGGTTACGGCATACAGTCAATCTGCAATTTCGCGTATATATAACTTAAATTGGGCAATCACATAAACTTGCTGCAAAATATACACCAAAATAATAAAAAGTCCGAACAACGGAACAGGCGGTATGTGTAGGAAATGAATGCCCGAATTCGATTTAAGCCGAAAAACGTTATTTGTAATCGATCTTATTGACGCGGACTACTTTTTTCAAGTGCAAATCAGTTTAACCGAGAGGATGTCATTGAATTGGTAATATTTTTATCCTTTTCTTTATCAAACGTTTTTTTGAAAATACAGTACTTCTACAATGAGGTTGATTGGTTATGCGAAGAATTAAGTGGGTTGGTGGTATACAGACAACATGTTCAGAAAAATTTGTTTCAAAACAAGGCTTGTTACCTTGTTACCGGTTTTCATTTTTCTCCATTTAGATAGGTGTTTGAAAGTTTACCATTCTGAAATAAACACAGAAACATGTAACAAAAATACAAATCGTGCGCAATAGGCACATCATCAATGACACAAAACAGAATCAAAATGAAGCGATAACATATTTCTCAAACAATAATATGAAACAAAATCATTAACAAACACATGTGCATTTTAGTTTTTTTGAAAGTGTTCTGGGGAGTTCGCGCTTGCAATCTGGTTTATATATATATGTTCAAAAACATCATTTTCATTAAAACTATTTGACCACGCGCCGCTTACAGTTTGAGCTTGTTTGTCACAGCGTTTGCTGGACTAATTTTTTAACTGCAACTAAACTAGAGCTCCTCGGAAGACATAATGAATATTGAGTTATTTGATTTAGAACTAGTTTTTGAAAACACAATTGAAATTGACAAGTAACGCGCAAAACAACGAAAACAAAGCAATGCTTACAATGATGCTTGGATATCTGTTTGAGTGGTTGGACGACGTGTAATTGTTTCGTCATTGTTAACTCATTGCTGATTGGTCATTGTCACGCAATCAAACAAAGAAATCGATTCTCGTTTTAATGAAAATGATGTTTCTGAACATATATATAAACCAGATTGTAAGCGCCAACTGTCCAGAACACTCTCAAAATTATTTTAAAAACTCCTATATTACAGGTTTATTTTTATTTTTTGTCAAAAGCACAAACTTATCAATAAATATCAATTTGGTTTATAAAACAACCATGAATAAATTACCAAATCATGCATTGATCGATTTGGTTGAAAACACCTTTGAACAATAGAAAACATATATGTATATTGTGTTTATAGAAGGCTCTGACGCTGTTAACTGTGATATATTCTTTTTATACAACATCCTTATAGTATCTGTGAATGTGCGAACAATCTTTTAAAAACTATCTAACATCAAAACAAGTGAACGATGCTCAAATATATGGACACGAAAGCCAAAACGAAGTAGAACGGGCATGAAATCTGTCGTAGTAGACAACAGGTAAGGCAGTCTTCACTCTTCACGAATCACGAATAACGTGAAAGCGGAACCGCCACAAGGTGCGCAATTTTTGATGATGTCATCGCACACAAAAATGAAACCCATAGAGCACACAAAATTTTGACATATATAAATAAAATTAATTAATTTCTAGAGAAATACACAATCTCTAACCACAGAAAGTTGGTCCAGTAATTAATAAAAAATGAGATTTTTATTCGGTGACAAACAAGAATTAGCAAAAGAATTCGAACAGCAAAATGATGATAAAACGATTCATATGTACATTTCGTGTCCAATAATTTCATGTTCAGTCGCTTGCAATGCATGGTTATGCAACAGAAAGAACCAATTTTGATAACAGCACTTATGGCGAATTGTTATAAGCAATGATCCCATAGCTAAGAATTCTGATTAACCTACTCGCAATTGAATAAATCCTAAGTTTTTCGAATTCGAACATGTTAGTTGCTATCATTATTTGTGTTGCAACATACAAGCATTTGTCCCAGCTGTGATTATACGCGACCGACATTACTGCCAAGTCAGACATTTGGTTAATAAGTTACAAGCACTAACTAAACTTGGTAGGCTTTGTGATTGAAATGAGTCAAGAGTAGGAAGTCATGAAGCAATTCAGCGGAAAAGTTATCATAATAACAGGTAAAGTAAAATAGGTTATAGGCCTACCAGTTTATAGATGAGAACTCTAAATGATTTATACTTGAAATAATATTAATAAATAAAATAATAATCTGTAGGATAATATCGTCATTGGTTGATAGCTTAACGACTTTAATATCCAGAAAGTTTATTGCGGGAAAATCAGTCAAACAGCTATAACAAAATACCACACCGGTATATTTCACAAAATACACCCTAAATAGTGTTTAAAAAACTAGCTGTCTGTAAATTGCGCATTTCATTACCGCGATGAAGTGAGACTATTGATTATAACGTTAGAGGATTTAACTAAGGTTCCCAAGACATTGTCACCAATTTGTATTTATGACCCGATGAATAGCAATTAAAAATTTGAAAACTGCGACGACCAGACTCAAACATAATGATAATATCAAGTTTGTTCCATGTATTTTTTAAAACATTTGCTACGAATCTTTCAAGTCCAAGCTCTTAGATTAGTTTGTGGTTTCCAATTGCTTAAAAATGCGTACGATTTATCATATGGGTGCCTCGCGCTTTTAAAAATGGTCGTATTCAGTTTTATGTAAGTCAATATCTTCATCAAATATTTGCGATAACAGGATGTGACTGTTCCACCTTTAAACCCTTTGCAGTCTACAATTACGTGGACTCATAGTTGTTTTCCCATACCTTTGAATTGATGATAAACTTGTACCTTCTTACTTTTAAACGGTATTCGCTGGCTTCTTTTATGGGCAATACATTTTAAGAATTATTCCAGGTGCTTCTAGCGGAATTGGTGCTGCTACTGCAATAGCGTTCTCGAAAGAAGGAGCCAAGTTGACAATTTGTGGAAGAAACAAAGAAAGGTTATCAGAAACAGCAAAAGAATGCATAGAAAATGGCGCTGACGTTAGTTATTAAAAAACAAAATTCCGGTTACGCCGTATCCGGTCGTTAAATTCGTAAAATAGGAAGATTTTTTCATCAATTGCTTTCTTGCTTTTGTTCTGAAAAATGGAGAGCCACGCATAGAGAGAAAATTGTTGAAGTTCAATGGATTCCGCGATATATATATTTTTTTCAATTGTAACTCTTTACATATGAAGGGTTCTTGTCGATGTGTCAGTATGAAAACGTAAATTAATGTGCAATATATTACAGGTTTTGGAAATAGACGGAGATTTAACGGAGTTTGAACATTTGGAACCAATTGTCAACAAGACTGTTGAGAAATTTTCGGCTATTGACATTTTAGTTAACAATGCAGGATGTGGTGTGTATGAGTCTATTGGCGATGTAAGTTATTTTCACTGAAACATGCCATGAAATGAAAAAATGAATAGGTTAAACACCAGAGATTTAGTGTTGCTTTGGTATTCAATCTCATCATATGTACCAATTTAAAACCAGAACATGTTGTTAAATTTTATTCACCAAATCCAATTATTATCTTTTTTTTAACAAGACTTTGTCCTAGGCTAATCTTAATCAGTGATAATTACGACTTAATTACTTATTGCATTTGAGCGATATGTTCTTATTTTATATGGCGTCGCATAACAAATTATCAGTACCAGGCGAGGACATTGCTACACTGAGTACACTTTTGGATCCTTATATATACTTACCAATTTTATATTTTTACTACAAGCACTGCATTCCTACATACCCACTTGAATATTTCTTGCAATCTTTCAACTCCCAGGAGTGGCCAAACTAGATGGATATATCTGATATATACAGTATTACGAATCAAGCCTATTTAGAACACTCAATATTTGTTACCGTCCCGCACCTCAAAAAAGGATGCCTTGTATTGTTACCCAAAAACAATATTCATACATATTTCCGATTATTTTCAGACAAAGATTGAAGATTTCGACATGTTATTTCAGATACTACTTCGGGCTCCTGTATTCTTGAGCAAATATGCCTTGCCTCATTTGAAGAAAACAAAAGGTTATTCTTTTTTTCATTTATTTTTTTCAAAGAAAAATATAGCATATAGATTCACAAAAGTCCAGAGATAAAAAAGGGCGACATTTTATCTTTATGCAACCCCAGACTTTACTACATCTTAGGCTGGTCCATTCCATCATACAAATGTTTAGTCCTAGAAACGTACCGTTACAACAATCACTTGAAACAAAAAATGTCTCAAAAATTTTTATCCACGCTGAGTTAAAAGCGAGCATGTCAAATAGTATCTATTATCTGTTATTTTCTGATACCATTTCAGGATGCATTGTAAACGTGTCCAGTGTAGCAACAATGATTAGTTCACCAAACTGTGTTCCTTATAAAATGTTTAAAGGCGCTCTGGATCACTTTACAAAAGGCTTTTCTTCAGGTTGGTTACGCATGCTAGTTAGAATAGAATAGTTACCCATCGAGTAAAATAGCCTTTTGTGCAAAATTACGGGTTTCAGTATTGTTGAAAAAAGTTTAAAATTTTCCAAAACTCTGAATTCTGAGCTAAATGGGGTCTGGGTATTTTTCAAGAACATTATTGAAATATTGACAAATAAACATTTCCAATAGATGAGAAAAAAGATCCTGACTTGAGGTGACGAAGCTGAACGTTAGGTGTTGAATGGACTTAGAAAATTTTATTCACAGAAACGAACCAGTGGGCACTCCGATCCAGAACAAAAGCAAACGTAGCGTTACTTACTAAAGATTCTATATTTTGGGAACATGCTGTAGGCGACTGAGGGAAGTTATATCTCATTAAATCTAAACAGTTAGTAGTGACTGGGTCTGATGAAAAGTGCAGTGGAGCAGTAATTGTTGTATTAATGGAAGTTGAAACGTACGCGAGATAGTAATTTGAATTGCAGTTTTTAACGGATTCTCTGTATCATTAAATTTTATTTTTAGTTTCTGGGGTCGCGAAAAAATTGGCCTTGTCATGTGGGTAGTGATGAAAGGGGTTTAAAGAACACTTTAGCCCTTGCGAAAACGATAGACAAGTAGTCTATGATACCAAAATAACCGCGACTATTGTGGACAGTTGTGGACTACGTAAATAAGCACAAAGCGCTATGCCCAATATATAGATATGTCAACTTATCATCAAATTAAAAAAATTGTCTCATTGCGTTTATTTTCGTTTTACAGAGTGCAGTCCGTTCGGTGTTCGTGTAAACAGCATAAAGTAAGCATAAAACATTTCTTATCGGAGCTAAACTATCGCGTGGTAGGTATATTGGCTAAGAGGAGTGCTAGGAGATCAAAAACTCGTTTCAAATATTTTAATTCAAGACATTAACTAGTAATGATATGCGTTTGAAATCTATTCTCAGTGTGTTATTATTATTTTCAAGTGTACGATTTCAAAATAAAAATCAATTAATAAATCTTTCATGTATTCATCGTAACTTCAATTTACTAGCGTCATAGATGTACCGAACGTTTAATCTTTTCAATTAATAGTGAATTAAATTAATAACTGATTTAATTTTACAGTCCAGCACATGTCCATACAAGAATATTAGAGACACTCGAAATAGCCGAACTAGAAGAGGCAAGTGAATTTATTTGCACCAATAAACTCAATAAAAACGGAAGCTGACCAACGAAAGAATTAAATTTAATATTATTTTGTTTAGCTTATGAAGGAATCTGAAGCCCTTCATCATTTTGGGATAATGCAACCAGAAACAATAGCAGACGGAATTAAATTTCTGTGCTCATCTCCTCACATTACTGGAATTACACTACCAGTTACTTCGGGTCTTTCAGTATAAATGTATAATGAAAGTTTCGGTACTCCTGAAGTATGCGCACCAAGATGTCGCAACCTGAACCCTAACCCGGTACACCACCTGGGTTCAGATTTGCGCCATCTTGGTGCGCATACTTCAGGAGGTCCAAAGTTTCTTTCTGTGGTTTGGGAATACATAAAGCTTATTGACATGTTTGTTCGATTGCAAACCAATGGGCAATGAAGATACAAAATAAAGTAGAAATGTACTTGCGGGAACGATCGATAATGTAAATCAAGAAATGATTTACAACATTCAAAAAAATATTCGGTGCGGTAGGCAACCAATCCATGTTTATAGTTACATTTAAAAGCTGGTTGCGCTATAGGATTTTGAAATGTAACTAATGTCTGGAAAATACAAAAAAATGAAATAAAGTCAAGTTGAGCGCCTCATTTCACCAAGGTAGATAAATAATGCGACAAATACGATAAGTACCCGTAACAGACAGCATGTAAGTATATACTTATTGTTAAAATTGTCAAAGTTTTACGACATACAGTCAATCTGCAATTTCGCGTATAATTAAATTGTGCAATCACATAAACTTGCTGCAAAATATACACCAAAATATTAATAAGGTCGAACAACAGAACAGGCGGTATGAGTAGGAAATGAATGCCCGAATTCGATTTAAGCCGGAAAACGTTATTTGTAATCGATCTCATTGACGCGGACTACTTTTTTCAAGTGCAAATCAGGTTTGTCATTGAATTGGTAATATTTTCATTCTGCCTATTCGCAAACGCTGATTTTCTTTATCAAGCGTGGGGTCGTTTCGACCAGTCCAACATTTCATAGCATAGATTTTAGAGCACTGCCTGTCAATTCAGAGAAGTTACTAGTATTTTAACAGTCTCGAAAGTAGGTAAGGATTTTTCAGCTAAAGCTGATTTTATGTCCATTTCGATATTTTTATTGTTTTAAAACAACCAAAACTTTCCAGCCAACTGGAATTTAGTGACATCGGAAGTCCATTCTGCTAGGTCTATCATACATTCATTCATTTGATTAGGATTTTCGGCAACCTTGTTTCGAAGTCAAGATAAATTGAAACATTCTGCAGCCTAGTTTGATCTAACTGAAAACGTCATCTTTGGAATCAATTTTTCTGGACCCAGCGATTGATTAATTAATTTCACAATCTGTCATACAGAAGCCTATAAACATAAAAAAACAAACATTGAAGTGACAAGCGGGTTTCCGACTCTAAACACAGTGTGAAAACTGTCAATAACAAAACAAATATGCTTGGAATGGCTGAAGCCTCAAAAATACTTGTTCAAACACGTCGCCAAACTTCTGATTCTGACGTCTATTCTACAAAAGTTTTATAAACCATGATAAAATCTCCGAGATGATTAGACAAAATATAATTATATTTCTTAGAATAGATATAGGAGAATAATTTGAAGAGTATGTACTAGATCTGGAATAAAAATTGCACATATTTCACTTATAAGAAATTAATGATACACTGAGAAATGAGCATGTACCGAAAATAGTTATAACAAAATTTAAAACATATTTTTACATTGCATAAAACGTCGAATTATTCATTTAAAAAAAATACTTTGAATTTTCCAATGTAGACAAACTTTCTTGACTCAATGTACTATATGGAATCATTCTTTGCTCATGAATAATTGTGCCCAGTTTTACCAAAGAGATAAATAAATTATTGGTAAGTGCTTATAAGAGAAATGGAACATGAATAAATTAGAAGAGCTATATTTTGTAGATATTCATAGGAATGCTTAGTGATTTCAGATAGGTAAATTTATTATAATAATAAAAAAATTTAGAAAAAAATAACACTGATAAAATTGATTCCGCAATTAATTCTGTAGAATTGATTTGTCATGCATAAAATAGATAATAATACATACATTATTTTACAATGAAATATCAGAAATATGAGTTTGAGTAACACAAAATATGGTGAATTACAATCAATCGACTGTGTTCCTTCGGGACAGCTCATTACTCTTCTTGCATTGGTGGTCCATGCGCCAATAACGCATGGGACCGAGCTTGTATCATTCGAAAGTAAGTACTGTGTTTCATCTAAAATTAAGATCTAGGGCTTCCATAACCCTCAGAGCTTGTAAAACTAACTCTGTGTCGTGACATTCCTGAATTAATATCTGTATCAGAATTTGATTGTGGGAATATATTTGAATGAATATCCCTCTCGTGTATTACTTCATCATGTTGACTCTGAGAACGATTCCATTCTTGTTCTTCCCCAGATGCAAGAATGATAAATAGAATTGTGCCAATGATGTAAATACCAAATGCAATGAAAAAAACGATTCGCCATTGCTCTCGAGTTTCATTATCTCCTGTTAATTTCTCAACAACAATGGGAGAAACAAATCCAGGTATTGTGCCAATTGTATTGGTGATTCCCATAAGTATTCCCGCGTATCTTGAAGCTATATCAATATGATTTGAATTAAATCCATTAAGTGAACATCCATTAAAAGCAGTAGCAATGCATATGAAAACTATAATTAGCGTGTTATTGCAACCGACATATCCAGCAGCTACTAAGAATATTGCAGAACCAAGAAAACCAATCGAATTGAATAGCTTTCTGGCTTGTGTAGTGTTCAATATTCATTTTTCTCTTAAATAATCACATAGAAATCCTGATATATTGACAGAACTCCACATTACAAAATATGGTAATGCTAAAATGATACCACTCGTAGCCATATCGAACCCCAGAACATATTTCAAATACATTGGTAAACATGTAAGAAGAGTATAAAATCCCCAATTGCTTGCAACATTAGCACAAACAATTCCCCATACTGGTCGGCTAGTAAAGATATCCTTCCATGGAATATTGAATTCAATTTGTTCCTGTGGTACTGTGCTTTCAATGTACTGCAGTTCGGCTGCACTGATTCTGGGATGGTCTCGAGGTTTATTGTGAACCAAGATAAACCATATCACACACCAGAAAACTCCAACTAAACCAAATACATAAAAAACTGACGGCCACCCACCCAAAAAATTAGAATTGCATAATATTCCAGATATTGGTTGAGAAACAAATGTTCCAAAAGAACATCCAGCATATCCCAGAGACACAAGCTTACTTCGTTCCAGGGGTGGAATCCAGACACCCCACATTGCATGCATAGCTGGAAAGGTGATACCCTCACCTAAGCCCTGGATCACTCTCGTGGCAATCAGGAATGAAAAACTTGTCCTGACAGCGACAGGTGTTAACAAAGCCAATAGAGAGGTGCACAATACTCCACATCCGAATAAATACTTACCCCCGAATTTGCTTGCAAGGATACCACCAATAAACTGGGTACAAATATATCCATAGAAAAATGCTCCCAATACCAGAGCCTTCTCATTGCTTGTCCAATTGAATTCACCTTCTAGGGGTGTAGAATTTGTATGGGAAACAGGACATTCATCAGAAGCATTGCGGGTATCAGATGTGTTAGTCATAGATAGTAAGGCAACACTGAGATTTACACGAAGAGCATATATATTGAAAAATCCGAAAAATGTTATGTACGCCAAAACATATCTCGCTGAAGTCCATGTTGGTACATTTAGAGGTCGATCTATTAAATCCTCATGTTTGCCTATTTGTTCTTTCGAATTGTTTATGCTTTCTTCCGATTTCCATCTTACATAGTTCTCAGAATTCATTTTATCCAGCTATTGTCAATTGAAAACATAACTTTTTTTTTGAATGGTTCCATAAGGTCAATAAATAATGGGACATACAGACATATATGTACAAATAAGAAGACAAATATAACAGCAGGATCCATCACAAGTATTTTATTAAAATAAATCCATATTGTTCCATTGTTTGTCAAGTTGATTTCACAGTATAGGTTTAGTTATTTATTTTTAATTATCGAAAAAATAAAAAAAATAATCATAATGAGTAATAGGTTGTTACAAATACTGTTATTTTGTGTAACAAGTTTCTCTTCTCTGATATAGTACATTATTGACATTTAAATCAATATTTTGAAAGTATATAGAATTTCGTTCCAATCATATCTCATATCTTGCATTACACAATAATAATAAAATAGCATTAGATTCTGAAATTGAGATATGAGAATCATTGAGAACAGTGATTTATTTTTTTAGAAAAAGTATAGTCAGATAGTTGTACACATCTTTTGTGAAAACATAATTTCAAAATAGAAGAGATACAAACTCAGATTCCTGCTTACACAACCTGACAACACTCAACACAATATAATCCATACCCATAAATATAACTTTTTCTTAGTTCTATTTTGACTGAAAGAAAGTCCCACATCAATTTGTAATTAAATGTTTCATAATATTGGCAATATTTTAAAGTATAGACTATATTTGAGCATGACCCTTTCAAATTACAAAATTACCATTACTGCATTACAAAGAATTTCTTCTGAGTCCCAACCACAATCTCCTCCTTCTCAGGTCTTTCAACTAGCAGTCTATTGATAGGTAATAATTAATATTGATCAAAATTTACACAAATCAACAACTTCCTCTCAAAAGTGTAGGGTAGTTTTCTATTGATTCCTTATTTGCAATCATTGAATATTGTACTCGCAGATATATTTTTCGTTTTTCAGGACGTCATGATGATCAATTTAAAAGCTGACTAATTCATTTTAAAGGTGTTTACATCAACAAAACTTGCAGACTGATGAACCATCCGTGATAAATTCAAACTGATCGCAGTGATCAACAACCTCATTAAACTTGCTTGCCTATAATCCATGACTTAAGAAATCTTACTTGAACCTTTAATATCCTATATATTCTCGTAACCAATTTCTCTACCTCTGTATCATACCACCTTAATTAATTTTAATTATAATTACCCGTAAATTTATTGATTAATAGTATTTAAAATAATTTGGACGTTAATTTGGCTTCTCTCTGGTGAGTGAAACATGTCTTGCCAACCTTTTCATGCATCCAACTTGGCAATTCTAATTGGGCAATTTGGCATTAGGTGACTCCAATCATAATCAGCTTGACATATCTTTTGAGGAATATTTTTCTATCCACAATATAGAACTCCCTGTTGACTAAATCGGTATTTGGCAATCCTCATAAAATTATTAATTTGGTGTGGCAAAAGAATTCATTCATTTTTTTTATTTGTTTGTATATTTTTCTTTACTGAGTAATTGATTTTATGTCACGGTTTTTTCACTTCCGACCCTATCATGTCTCGATGATTGTAATTGTGTGTGTGTGTCTTAATTAGTTTTAATATCTTTGGGTGAGCGAACACGTACTACTTCTTTTATCAATAGCCTACCTTCCCACCTTAAATCCGTACGCTTTAAACCTTACATAGTTTTGTTTGCTTTCCCGATTCTATAATCAGTTTTATTTGTTTTGTTTTTATCAATTATTTTATCGTCTATTCCTGATTATGGAGTGGAAATAAATTTATACTTGAATAAGGAAAAAAAAACAGTACGATCTCCACCCATCAAATTACTTTTTATCTTACAGTTTTACAATACAATCTTCTCGAGTGGAAACATAAATTTAAATTCTGAAATACCAATGCAACCAATTACCCAATATACAAACATGAAAAACCTGAAAACAGAGCAAAGCACCAAACCTACACAACAGCACAAAGAGAACGATGTACAGGGAAGTTTATGCAGAAACATCAGCAAGCAGCAGCATTCCGCATTCCGAGCAAAGCAAATTAGACTCGTACAAAATTTAATCGGTGAAACTTTATTTTTAAGAGTTTTCCCACAACAGATTCAAATAATTTTCTTTATAATAAACTTTTAATTAAAAACTTAAACGTTGTCGAATGATTTAGGTAGTTCGATAGTGGGCGCCAGCGGGTCGACTGTTGGATAAATTACCCTGTTGGCATGGTAACGCAAGCTCAGAGTTGAATCTTGTTGAGCATAATGAAGCGACTTGGGTGAACGTATTTTGCTTTTGTTAGTGTGTAAATGTATTTCTCCCCGAAGAGAATAAAGTTAATAAGACTGGTTGGCTTATTATGATTCAAAACTCAATTCTAAATCTAGTTCTTTGCTTAGTTTAATGTCCCAATATTCTTGCTTTAAAAGTCTGTTTTTATTTTACTATTTCGTGTTGATGTGACCACAATATTTAATGTTTTGTAATCAGTCAGTCTGGTAATTTCGTTCACCCCAGTTGTGATACTTTTTTAAAATGAGAGAATTATTATTGAGAATTTTACTATCGTACATTACTATACCATATCTTTTTTTATACTTATATATCAACAAGCTTGCAATTAATTAAACTCAATGCACCTTTTTTTGGGAATAATGGCATTAGGAAGATATTTTATATTCATGTGTTCAACATGGTTTTCAAACAAACTATCATAGGTGTAGAGACTTTGTTTGCAAATTTATTGCATATTGTTAAGAATTTCAAAAAATAATTAGTAAACGTTTCACACTTATGATCAATGGCAAATTGATACAGAAAAAATCTTTTTTCAAATGTACAGTTCATTTCTTTGATTACACTTTCATAAAATATGTCTGAAATTGATGCAGCCGAGGAACCACCAGGTAAAGCAAGAAGTAAAAGAATTTTTATTAATCATGTTGACTCCTATTCTGGACACAACATAGGCAAGGTAAAAATATTATCCAGAAGAATGTTGTGCTCATATCTTTGTACTATTCAATTTATAGTTGATAGTTATACTATTTCAAATACTGCTTTTATAAAATTTAACATCTTCAGTTGTATATTTATGTTCCTTTTTATCATTCTTTAATAAATATTTTCTTTGTAAATAAGAGAAGTTTTTATGAAGAGCAAAAAATTATAATATTTTATATAAAATAACAATAATTGATAATAATTTAATACATTTGAATATATTTGAAACAGATTTAATACAGTGCATAAGAACACAAATCTTAATTAAAATGATTCAAGAGAATAAATATTTTTTAATTTTCCAATACTGGAGCCAGGTGTGGCCAATATGAACAATTCCTCATTAAATCTGAAATATTCTCAGCGAATATAAAGTATCAAACTTATTCAAAAATGTGTGTTCAACAGAGAAGTTAATGTAGAATATTCAATGATTTTGAATATAGAAAAATTGCAACAAACATTTGATTTGATTGGTTTTCTACATTTTAGTTTTCATAAATCACATAAACCTTTTAAGGTCATAATGTAAAACTTTAATTGCTTTAAATGATTATTTTTTCAAGTAAATCTATTATAAATTAGGCTACTCCTATAATCAAGAATTTAAATCGTTGATTAGTTTTGGACATGTCGAATGAAGCAAAATTCTTCTTTCAAATTGACATATATAGGGTATCCTTTAACAATCAATCAACAAATATTACTTCATTTTAGTATCTTTCACAATGCATTGTCGGAGCATCACTAGAGGACATGGAGGAAGAGGAAGATGGAGATGCAGGATCTGTTCATTCTGCAGGAGATGAAGCTTCACATAAGGAGGGATCTTATCGAATAATTGGAACTCTCAAAGATCAAAATGCAAAAGCTCCTGATTTTGTTACTCAAGTTGTCAATGTGTGTGTTGTTTGCTTTTGTGTAATAGCTATTTGTACTGTATTTCATAAGAGAGATATTTACCATTGTCAATTATAGAAGTGACAATCTAAGTTACAACAGAAAGATTGATGATACTAGGCAAAATCTGACTATGTGCATAAAATATTGAAATATGTGTACTTGTTGACATTCATTGATTTCACACCAGTATTATATGCCATTGTTACTTTATTATTCAGTTATATTGCTATTTTATATATTATAAGATGCAATATCATTTTATCTGAAATATTGAATATCGAAAGGTTGAACAGCATCATTAATTAATTCGATTGACTAAATATAATCTTCAAAAATTATTTCATACTTCAGAATAAGTTGTTTGTTTGTGCTTGTTTCATCAAAATTGCAGCTAAATATAATGACCATATAAATCCAACCTAATATGTAAATTTCTAAAAACCTAGAAAATTAAACATTGTATTATCCTATTCTAACAAATATCATTTCAATTTCAGTTTAACACAAGAGAAGAACTTCTTGAACATTTGTTAGAATGTGACATCATTATTTACAATACCAATGAAGATTTTGATGTTATTGATGAAGCTGTTTGGTCAGTTTCATCTCTACATACAGAGATTGAACATTTTGATGGACCAAAAACCTTCATCCTACTTTCTACTGTGATGACTTGGGCAAAGAGCAAGCCTTTGGATCCTGTAATTATTTTTTTCTCTCCTTTTTTGTTTCAGTGATTAAGAATTCTATGCTAATGTTTCATTTTGTTGTTATGTAATAGTGTAGCATTTTAAAAAAGTATCACAATTGGGGTGAACGAAATTACCAGACTGACTGATTACAAAACATTAAATATTGTGGTCACATCAACACGAAATAGTAAAATAAAAACAGACTTAAAGCAAGAATATTGGGACATTAAACTAAGCAAAGAACTAGATTTAGAATTGAGTTTTGAATCATAATAAGCCAACCAGTTCAACTATGTAATTGGAATAACTGGGTCTTGAATCTGAAATATATAATCTGCTTTTATCAAACTATTTCAATCAATGAATCTAATTCGGTCAAAGTTTTGGTTTCAATGGGATTTTTTAATGCATCGTATTAAATTGTTAATCCCAAGATATTATTATTATCTGTTATTATTTTTAGGATGATCCTGAGATTCCATTCACTGAAGATGATTACAGAAGAAGAAAGGCTCATCCTAATTTCAAGGAACATATCAGCGCTGAAAAGATGGTCATCAAATTTGGAAAGACGGTAATGTTTCTTGTTGTATTGCTTTTCTTGAGCATGACGTTAGTTAGAGCTTGAAATTGACGTATTCTGTCAATACCTTTTTCATAGAACCTCCCGTTTTCTCTAAAATTTCAGTTTTTAAATTGTGTTTTATTTATTTATGCTGCTTGACGTCAGCTGCTGCTAAACCAAGCAAAAACGGTGTCACTGATTTGATGATTTTGATAGTCTTTCGCAGCCCCTTGTCTTTATCTAATTTTTATTTTTTGTTAAAATATGCAATGATTTTTGCATGACGAAAATAAATATCTGAATTCTGAACAATTGTTTTTTAACTATTTACTCCAATCTAAAAGCACATACACAGACACTTTCTATACAGTTTTCCACTATGAATAAGTTTCTTCACAACTTTTCTTTATTTTTCAATTTTTCATTACAGAACAAACAAAAATTTACAACATATGTAATTGCAGCTGGCTTGACTTATGGAATGGGAGAAAATGTCTTTCATTTTCTATTCAAGGTAATCCTATAATACTTGACTAACAAGAAGGAACATGCTCATCATACCCAATAACAAACAGTATAATCCTGGGCTGTGGGGTCTGAGGTAATATTTAGCATATTTTACTGGGGGCAAGAGCCGGAGTCATATTTTTGAAGTTAAGTAGTTCTGAATTTTCTGGAGTTTTTGTTATCTAAATTTGATTTTCTTATAGTTTGGAGCTGAAGTCAGTGTCTAAGTCAAAATTTTCTTAACAGAGCCAAATTTTTTCAACAACTTATAGTCAGATACCCTGACTTCACAATTTTGCAAGATGACATGGTTTGCTATCAGTTAATTTGCTCTTTGGTATAAATATGGAATAATGTTCATTCAAATACTTTATTCAAATTCAGTTATATTTTGCATAGTAAATAAAGTAGCAATGTAGGATACATATATTTGAAAAATTGCCATTTCGAGTATCCAAAATTTGAAAGTTATGAAAAAGACTAACCACCAAATAAAAGTTGTCCACAATTTAATACTGTTCAAGTTTTTTTTCATTGTCGTTGTCCATTTGAAATATGGTCGATCAGTAACAATGACTTTTCTTAATTGCCCCCAAATCTATCTGATTTCAGACCGCATGGTTAGGTGAAGCTCCAGCCCTTCAATGTTTTGGTACGGGAACTAATATTGTACCAACAATACATATTAGAGATCTGGCTTGGTAAGTTGATTACCATATTAGTTTTTAAGTGTTTATGATGGTGATGTTTGGGGAGTTGGTCAACTTCTGCTGTATTTATTTATTAACAGATAAGGTATGTGATGTTTCGTTATTCGGTATATATTATTGTATTGTAAATTTTAACTTGGTATGAAACCGTATATCTTTACCTAGGATGTGTGCTATTGATAATGCTGTTCAAAATTTTTCACTCCTAGGCAATGTACACAGTACAATCTACACAGATATATGTATCTAATTAAATACTGACGAAGACCACTTTAAGATAATCATTTTTGCCAAATTGGAACCTCCACATTTTGCGATCGTCTTTAATGTGCATACTTTTCTTTTTCTATTTTCCATTATACCTTTCATATTCCTTTGTACATGACAGTGTCATTCAGAATGTATGTGATGGTCATCCAAAAACTCGGTACCTTGTTGCAGTGGACGATTCACAAAATTCACTTGAAGAAATTGTTCGGGTACGTGTATATTATCTGTTCTCTACTTTCTCTTATGTTTTTATGCACTGTTCATTTAATGGTATATATACACTACATATCATTCGATATATATGTCAGTTGTTTCTCTATTGAACTGTGTTATGTTTCAGTGCATCAGTTATTACTTGGGTACAGGAAAAATTCGTAAAATTGCGAAAGAAGATTATGATTATATGAGACAAGTATGAAATGTGTGCTTGAACCTAAACTTAACAATGGATTGCTTTTTATTAATTTTATTGTGTATTTTACATTTTTGTTTTCAAATAATGATTCACACTAACATGCTGCTGTGAAGCTTTTTTACAGTCGCAATACTGTGATGTTTACTCTTCTCATAAATAAAATACAAGTCGCAGGGTTCACAAAAAAGTTGGAAATTTGTAAATACCTTGCATCAAAAGTGGCATGATAGCTGATTTAATCAAGCCAAAAACATCTTATGATAAATTCTGTCTCGCTATGAAAATAAAGAGAAAGAGTTCTTTTGTGCAATAGAATAGTAAATGTATTGTTAATTATAAAGTGTCTGATTGTATTTTATAACACATTTGAAATCATAATTTGGTATAGTTTTTTTCGTGAAATCAACAAATATTTAACTGGACTTTACTATATTTATTGACGTAAGTGAATAACCTGTGTGAGTGTTGTTGAATTTTCATTGTTATTAAACTATGGGTGACTAACATTGTCAGTAATTATTTGAAGAGCCCCACTTTATTCCCAAACCATATTCGTTGGTACTGCAAATATCTAAAGATACATAATATGTATACATATTGTGTAATGAACGAAAGTGTTAAAAAAGGAGTTGTATAAATTTTTGTATCTCGCTGAAAGATTATAGTGAACAAATATAACAAAACATTTTCGAAATTGGGTTGAAGAAAATAAAAATTAGCGAAACATTTCATAATAATAAATGCAACAAATGATTGCTATCACCTATGTGAATATGGAGCATTTACATAATCGGCAGTTATCACACCTAACTTAGAAGGGTAGCTGGATGAGATGCCATGGTGTGCAATAATATTAGGCTATCTCACTTCTTTTGACTATGAAAAGTGTACAAATCCTATTCCAGATGAGCTTTTTAATGAAGTTTTCATGACTTTTCTAAAAGGTTGTCAGTACAAAAGTTGGTCCGGGAAAGGTTGATCATATTTCCAAAGAAGATGCATTGCTGATTAAAGATCTTAAGGTTTCTTTTGAATTATCCTTTTAATCATATCAATCATCAGTCAATTTTTTGGTGTATAAAAAATGAATGCAGGAATAAACTACTCATTCTCTATAGCTTATGATGTACAGATCCCTGTTACATAGAATGATACAGTATCTAAGAAAAATTGCACCAGACTAGGAAATAATCTACGACCTGTTTTCCCTGGATCTTATTTATACAACACCTAAACTGACCAAAATATCTTCAATATCAAGAAGTATTTTCTATCTAGTAATTGTCAATATATATTTTTAGCAAAGTGAATTCGACTCACTTCTTGTTAACCTACGCATGGAGGCAATGTTTGTCAAAGAATCCATGAGTGTTAGATGGGTTGCTGAGACTGGTTTGGTCGATTCAATCGAAAAGATTATCAAGGAATATAAAAACACAAGAGGATTACAGGTATTGACTTCAAGAAAAAAAGCAAAAAATTTTTACTAATTACGATTTTGAGATGTACAGAAAGAATATCATATGAAGGTGTTCACATAAATTCTGAGAACCAGCGAAGTTTGTTGGGAAATATCGGACCTTGTGGGACTTCATAAAAGTAATAGTGTTGCAGCAACTTTCCTCCATCTTTAATTACTGAAAACTTTTATTTAAATTGATTGATCTATTAGTTAACTACAACAACCATTTTCCCAAATGCTCTATAGATACACTTTTTGTTCTATAAGCAGTCTTCAGGTTTGCAAGAACTAATTTTTCATATTAATACAGACTTATACTGTGCTCATTAATAAATAAATCATTCTTTCTTTTTCATAGCCCATGCGTGCGTGTGTACTTGGTCCACCTGCATCTGGTAAAACAACATTGGTTGCCAAGATCTGTGAACATTATAAACTTCATCATATTAAAATCAAGGATGTCATTGATGAAGCAATACAAAAACTAGAAGCCAGTGCTGCTAGACTGGAACAGGTAGATGATAATTTGTTATTAGTATTTCATCCCCTATTCCTCGATTTAATACATTTCCTTTCAAGTACTGTAACTAAGAAAGCAGGTACTGTTACTTAGGTAACTTTTTTTATTGAATTTTATTTTCATTCAATACCCAATAATTTGGGGTCGTAAAGTCAGAGTGTGGCGTGTTTTTATTGTTATTGGAGTCACATTTTCAAACTTTTTATCAGCTTTTTTCTTGTCTTGGATACTGCTAAATATGAAAATTCTTACCTGAAAATGTCATCTTTTTTCCTACAGGGAAGCGCTGAAGGTGAAGGGGAAGAAGAAGATGAAGGAAAAGCACAAGAAGATGCTGAATTACTGGAAGCAGTGAAAGACAGCAGAGAAAACAATAATGGAAGATTGGAAGATCAATACGTGATTCGATTCTATCGTGAAAAACTTCATTCCATGCCTTGTCAAAATCAAGGATTTGTTCTTGATGGGTTTCCTAAGACTTACAACCAAGCCAAAGATCTCTTTGCAGGTTGGTCAGGTTATTTTTCTGTGCTTTGAATCAGAGCTCCTCAAAATATTTCAATATTCTATAATTCTACTTTACAGTTTAGTATGATTCATTGCGAACAAGGCTTTTTACAAGCAGGCAACCTGATACTTAGCGAGTTATTCTGTGGAAGACAGGAATCTTCTACATTACATTGTTGCCTAGTTACTTACATTATAATATTTACATTAGTTGAAGACGAAGATGAAGGTGACGATGGAAAACGTTTATCATATGATGCATCGATCATGCCTGAAGTTGTTATTTCTCTTGATTCTCCTGACGACGAATTCTTGAAAAACAGAATAATGAATTTACCTGAAGAACTGGTACAGGTAGGACAACATTATTTTGACTTGATAGTTGGTACGTGATGCTGAGACCTGAGAATGTGCTTGAAAGTTTACCGCTAATTACTTTGTGTGAGACATCATATGTGGGAAATGGTGATGTCTATCTTGTGGTCGTAGGGTGTTCCACGTAACCAGTTATTGACAATTTACACAGCAATTTGATAGTTATGTAATCTCGCTTTTTATTTTGAATTTTTTAAATTGATCCACTTTGCAGCACAAATTTTGTCAAATTGCATGTAAATCATGTAAATTATGCATAGATATATTGTTGAGAGTTATTGTTGTAATACTGCACCTTACATTGGTAATAGAACAGCAAATACAATAATCTACAAAAAAAATTCTGTTTTGGTCAAATTTAAGTGAAATTTAAGGCTTTGCGTACAAACTGTGAAATCTCTAAAGACAGCGTGCTGCGAGCATTGGAGAAGTGATTATGCTTATTGAAACTTGGGAGAGATTTTAAGAATTCTTTAGTAAGGCAGGCGATAAGGGCAGTAATATCAACAAGACGATTTAATTTAGTTAGATATGGTCAATGAATTGGGGTTGCAACAAATTGTTAGTCAGTATATCACAATTTTGTTCAGTGTCTGATTTCCACGGGTTCGCATTGATTGTTTCGTGACTCGGGGGGTACTGAATAGGAAAAAAGGTTGAGAACCCCTGGTCTAAGAGGTAAAGAAAGTTGATAATATGGTAAACTTCAACCTCTCGAATTGGGCTGGTCACCAATCCATATTTGGTGTGATTCAGATTCAGATAATTTATTTTCGTCGTGCAAGAAACATTATGAACAACACAAGCATAGTAAATCAAGGCAAAAGAAAACAACAGACACATAATGTTTCGACTGCAATTAACGAGGAGCCGCGAAAGACTATCAAGTCATCGTGTCAGCGACACCATTAAAGCTGAATGACGTCAAAAAAACGTCAAATGATTAAGGTTGAGTTATATATGATCAGGGCAAAAATTTGGAAAACGTAAATCGAATCGAGAGAGTGAGCCAAATGAGAAAAGTTTAAATAAAAAGTATGAATGGAATCAACAGAGTATAATTAATCAAGTAATTTTTTAGATATAATTAATTAATTAATTAATTTTGGATATAATTAATCAAGTAATTTTTTATATATGCATGGACTTCGGTATTGGAAGAAACGTCCAGCAGCTTTGGGAATAACTCTGCGACTTTGAGGAGTCAAAAAAATTATCCATATGAAAAATGAACAAAAACTCAAAATTTTGCAGTTTTGTCTAAGTCATACACAGATAATAGCACTATTCAAAACAAATTCAATATCTCGACTTGCAATTAATATAGTAACCTTTTCAGGGGACACACAACACTGAAGAAGGTTTCCTTCGAAGACTCCATGATTTCAGACAAATGAATCGAGAAGATGACACCGTACTCAATTATTTTGATGAGCTTGAGATTCATCCCGAACATATAAGTATGAATTCCTTTACTCATCAGAATTTATGATCAAAATGCACTTCTTTTGAGAAATTGAAAAATGGGAAAGCATTAGCTAAATGCAGTCTTTCTAGACATTCCGGTTCTTTCAGTTTTAGATGCTATAACATGTAAATGACTTTTTGTAAATTCTTGTACTCAATATGAAATGTGCTATATCTTGATTTCTTGTTTGATCATCATAATTTGAAAGACAAGATGTGATATTTAGAAAAAAGTATGGTTAAGTTATGCCTGTGTTGAATGAGAAATTACATTAACTTTATGGCACCACCAAGCATTTTTATTCATATGTAATTAGTTTTGTATTATTAACATTTTACTTCATTCGGTTTGGAAAAATAAGAAATTATGAATACTCAATGTCTCTTCATTGCACAACAACAGTACACCACTTTGTTTCCACCTTGTTGCTTGTAAATACTGTGTGCATCTATTGCACCAAATTTTCCTCTGAAACAAATAAAGATATCAATCAGATTTTAATTTGTTTGTTCAGATGTCTCCCAGTTTGATGACATCAATTACAAGGCGATAATGAATAAAGTAAAAGGATGGTTGAAAGATCCAAGAAACTACGGACCTACTCCTGAAGAGAAAGAAGCAATGGAACGTGCTGCAGCAGAAGAAAGATTACAACAGGAATCTGAAGAAAGAGAGGAAAGGGAAAGGAGGGAAGCAGAAGAAGCTGAATTGATGAAACAGAGAAGAGAGGAATGGGTAAGTTAACTCCAAATGAATGCTTTTCATCTTACCCTCTCATTAAGATGACTCTTAAAGTGAGCAAAACTAATTTATCATCGGTTTCAAACATATGAATTAATTTATAGAGAGAGTCCTTTTAATTCAAGTACTAGGGTGGTTCACGTAATTGCTGGTCGATTACGGCTTCCTTCACCATCAAGTCCATGCTTCCGAAAACAAATAACTAACTAATCCCATACCCGACATGGAATGGTAAGCGGACGAGAGGCTGTGCTTTACCATACGATTAAGCCATCCTATCCACTTTCCTCTCTATTGGGATCAATATGTAAATCCTATCCTACCCAATGATCAAATATTAATCATCTATATCTCTCTTTACAAACTCTTTCAAGTCAGAATATATTTTACATGGGATTGCTTAATTCTATCCAAGTCTCAACAACAATAATAATTTTGAAGTCTTCTAAACTTATTATGTTAATATATAGCCGATCATCTTCAGAGTGATTAATTTTTTAGATGAATCGACTTGAAGAAGTTAGAAAACAGGAATTAGATGTTCTCGAAGAACAATCAATTCCACTGAGAAATTATTTGATGAAACACGTCATGCCTACACTCACATCTGGATTGATTGAATGTTGTCAAATTCGACCTGGAGACCCAGTGGATTACTTGGTAAGATATGCGGTCTATCATTATATATATATATAAACTTCCACAGTGATAAAAGTTAAACATGAAATCCAAAAACATAGACAAATCAAATCAAGCATATCGAAAAACAAAATTTAGAGCATTGGCTCACTTAGACCTATAAGATAGGTGTGGAATAGGCCCTTGTGAACAAGTTGCTTTTGCGTTCTATTTAACTTTCTTGCGGTCTTATTAGTTTTATTCAATATAAAACACCAAATATGTCTATAGGGCTTATATATGAATGAAGGTAAAATCTGTGAATGAATGTAAAAACGTCTGTCTATCATGTTTATTATTTTACTTGTATATTGTGAGCGTTCTTTTGTTTGTTAATAAAACATTTGAAAAATATAGTTTTTAATAGTGCGTATGACTTCTGTTTGTGAACTTTCGTAAACACAAGATGTTTGTTACATGAATGTTCAACTAAGCTTCTTACTCGCCTATTTGATAGTTATCTATGCGTTTTTCATTTTTACAGGCAGAATATTTGTTCAAGAACAATCCTCAGGTTGATTAAAAAGCAAAAAAAAATTCCAGAATTTGATATATTTAATTTTGTATATAAAAATTATATTTAAACTAGTATTTGAAGTGGCATTAACAGTTTGAATAAAAGTTGTTTTGTATAAATATGTTGAATAAATGAAGTGTGGGGCGACAGGACTTTCTAAAAAAGAACTAATTGGATTTTTGAAGAAAAGTAGAATTGACTAGAACACTAGCAGACATCCCAGGGGAAGGAAATTTATAAGATGGCTTAAGCGAATATCGAAACACAGCATCTCGTCCCATTACTCGTTACCATGCCAAGGTGACCACTAGGCAGTCATTCGTACTTGGTGGTGGAAGGAACCGAGACTGACCAGCAATTCCCTGTCATATAATCATCTCTACATGGAATGCGAATCTGCGCAGTGTAATTTGATTCACGATGGCAACGAGTTCCCGGGGCTTAGCACGATGTGCAAGTCATCTGCAGTCCGATTGTGCAGCCGGGGTAAATTGTTGTTTTGCTAATTTATGAAACTGCATATTTATTTGGTTGTAACTATCGATTTTATAATTTGCGATTCCTATATTCTCTTTTAGCACGTATTTTTGGTAGGAGCATTTGTGTTTTGCAGATAATACGTCGGTCAAAGTCCAAGACTGGGGTTTAAGACATAGCTAGACCTCCAAGCTTATATGTTTTTGTTCAAAGATGGATCACTAAGACGTTAACAGTATTGCATTAACTCAAGTGCAGAGTGGCAGGCGCTTCTTATGCAAAAAAAGCTGATGAGGTGTTAAAAATACTTCAACGAGGCACCGACAAAAATCGATTTATGTTTGGCTGTCTCATCCAAGTCAACGCTATAATAGAAGCAGCTCGGATAGATCGAATGTGCAACAGATATAATATAGTGTCCGCCTACCAGATGGCATCTTTTTATGGTCAAGTAACCGGACTAGGCTCAGAGACGTTAAGTATTATTATGAAATAATTCTATGAGATTCTCACATATATCTAAATCTATTTCTAAACTACAGGATAGCACAGCCGTTCTTGCGCAGGAACACCTTCAACTAGACGCGGAGGTTAGGTTAGACACTACACTTTGTTCCAAAGAATTGAACTTTTATTAAAACCTTTTTACTGATCATAAAATCGACTCATCTTAATAACAAAAGTGCGGTGGGATAGTGATTTGCTAAAACAAGAAGTAATACTAAATACTTTTATAATACAAGTTCTCTCGCCATAATTGCGTAATTTTTTTTACATTATGGAACTAATCTGAAGCATTGATATATATTTGAATGAAAAGTGTGAATAATTCTTCAAATAGTATTGCTAAGTTGAAGAATAATGTGAAAATTCATTTTCAGCTGCAGTTCGTGATAGTTCATCGACAAGATCGTGCAAAACTCCTTCTTCCATTTCAAGTTTTTTAGAAACTGATAGTTTTGATTGTTTGTTTCGAACAATTTCGTCAATATAAGGTGCTTGTTGTGTTCCGTGGAGTAGAAGCGTCCACTCCCTTAATACTCCTGTCATAAAATAAGATCATAGTCAAATAAACAGTTATGTTGTTTGTAACGTTACTAAAAAAATATCGGTAATCACGCGGATTTGCCGTTATTGAACAGATGTTTATTTAAAGAGCCGGATTTACATTTCCTCGGCAACATCGATTCGGTAGTAAAAATTACTGGCTTTTAAACGCGAAATCAGATGTTTGTTGAGTTTTCGCCACTGTTTTCTCCAAAGAGTGATTCAAAATCGGATGTTCTGGAACCATGACGTAAAGGCTAGCTAATCTATTTGCTTTCTTAAATTCAATTAACACTTGTGTGGCGCAATTGCGAACGTCATCAATTTGAATTCCAAGTACTTTAAATCCTTAATCAACGGATGCATAATATTTAGTTATTTGTTTATCTCGTATATTGAATTCTTGGTGCTCCCGAAGTATGCAAACCAAGATGGCGGACATCGGAACGTAACATGGGTAACAAGTTAGGGTTAGGCGATATTTTTTTTCCAATTTTCCTCATTTTAGTCCTATCATCAGTTCGAAGACTAGCCAAGAGTCTCCCGTAGTATTTATACCTAAAATTACGGCCTAACCCTAACCTAGTACACATATTACATTCCGATGTCCGCCATCTTGGTTCGCATACTTCGGGAGCCCCGAATTCTTTTCCTCACCTTGCTGAGGTAAATATCCATTGAATGCAATTCGTAATATCCACGTTCCGGCCGGATCTTCGCCCCAGGTATGAGTTGTCATGAACGGCCAACTAAAAATTGTATGTATTTATGCTAACTGCAATAGTGGAGTTAAGTTTATAATGTTTTTTTAGAGCATTATTCTCGAACGATTCAACTTAATTTGAAATCAGTTTAATTAACTTGTACCCCTTATTTTGATTCGCTAAAAGCAACAAGGCTGTGATTTAAGTGGTTGACTCATACAATTACTCGAAAACGGTTTTTCCTGAAATACTAAAATAAGGATGACTCGAGATCATGTCTAGACTTGACCCGTCATCCATATGGGGCTGGTCTGATGAAAATAGAATTTAACATGATTGGGGATTGTGGTAATGATTTAAATGTTGATTTTTTGATTTGCATCGAGATTACAGAATCAAAATATCAAAAGTAGCTATTGAAATCTAACCCGTACGCTCATAAACTTTTTAGGATTACAAAATCAAAAATAACCTTTTGAATCCTTGTGTGAAATCATCGTCACGTGGTCTCCTACTCAGCAAAAGGGAATTTGTGTTCATTGGAGAAGTTAGATTGATTGTGACGTCACCTCTACGAGTAGAATCCAAAGTTATGAAAGCCTGAAACAATTAATGATAAAGTTGACTATTTTTTAAAGAATACCCAGAAACGCATATTATATGAACTCGAATATGGATAAAATGTGTGGATGGCGAAGTTACTATTATTGATATACTAGTCTGAAGCGGAATTTCTGACTTAAACGTTACACACCTGAACGTGCTCTAGATATCTGACATGGTTAAACAGTCCTGCACAGGCGTCAGTTTTCAGTGATATTTCCAAAACACCATCAGATGGAATCGCGTATTGTTGATTTGTCGTTCCTGCGTTGCAACGATATCGTCCTGGAACGCTGGTCCAGTCTCGCGCCATTTTTACCTAAAATATATTAATTTTGTAACAATAAAAGTGATAACCAATGCTGTGTACGACCAATGCTTTTATTACAAGGCGTTAACAAACTTTTAGGGAAAAAAATTATATTCCAATTCAGTGCATAACATCATCAAGAACCGCTTACAAATTCGAACCATTTTTACGCGGTTTTTGATGCAAAAATGATTTGCGTATTGCAGACTGAAGGTAGGAGAACACGAAAGATATTATAGACCCGATAGGGGAATATTAGCCAAAGAAATTTTCAATTAAAGATTGAAGGTTTGATGAGTCTTATCTATGTATTGAACATTAAAGCAAAACATGCCCGGGGATGAACCTTTTTAGTCTTGATTTAATCATAAATACGTCTGTTCCGTCTGTCAATTTCATAGCTCGATAAATCTGAATACTGACTTTTATTGACGACATTTTAATATCACTACAGTTTATATCAGCCTACCATTCGCCCAGCATTTAGAACGCCAAATCCAAATAAATGATTGAATTCCAAGCCGACGCCATTCGTTTGCCATTTATGAAGATTATCGAATAGAGAATTCCTTGTTGATGTGAGAACAGTCAAATGCTGAAAGTAATTAAAACAATTATATACCAGTGACTATAAATTGAGCATCAGTCTCATTTGTGCATGGTAGCCTACAGATAAAAATATGTACAAATGAGATATCCAAAACTAATTTGGCAAATATACTTATTTGCGTATATTTGAAAATTATTTATATGTATATTACTGATATTCCCGTTACATGTAATTTTGAAAAGTAGAAGTAAACAAAATTAGAGTGACAGTTCAGCATCATTTTGTTACAATATTACTATCATGTATAGTATAACTGTTGACATCTCAACTGGATCATCTAACTCAGAATACGAATAACTAAACTCAACCGAATGACGCGTTTTTATTTGAGCAAGGGATCTATCTTTAAAAATTAATTGGTACAAATTGAGAGCGAAAAAAAATGGTTTGAAAGATCTGTAATAGGATGTTTCACACTGATATAATGATACTGACTTTGCTTTGAAAAAAGCTTTTACATTAGGCGAACTTGCAAGATCTTTATAAAAAGAAATTTTCTTCTGGACAGCAATAAAATGTACCAATTTCGCTTCGCGAATAAAAGATCTAAGAGTTTCGACCGGAATTTTGTTTTATTTTTCATCCAGTATTAATGTAAACATTTGACACTAAAATATTCTCTCAGGATAAACACTCTCCCAGACAAAAGCGAAAGTGTTTTCTTGGCAAAACATCATACATTTAGGGCCATTAAAATCGCATAGTACTCTATATATCCCAATATATTATGAAATATGATGTTAATGTTTATCGAAAAAAAAATCAGCTCAAAATAAAAAAGTGATGATATCATACCTGAACATCTCTCCATGTCAGTCCTGGATTGGCTTCCAAAGCAAGAGCAAATACGCCTGCCGCTTCCGGTGCTGCGGCGGAAGTACCGGAATGATGCAAAGTACAATTACCATACAAATCTGTTGTTGCCTAAATATTGAAATGAAATTTTTAAAGGAAATTTAACAAAATACAATGACGTTATACTGAAGTGCATACAAAAGCCCAAAGGGATCGCATAGGAATGAGTGTCCAATGTATAAACTATAACTACAGATTAAGATCATTAGGGCATGCCAGTTTTGAACCTATGGTACTGTCAACAGAAATATAATAAAATAGTTCAATTAGAAAGATAATTTTGTGTCTGTCACCTGAACATCATCGTATTATATTCGGGGCCTGAGTGTTGACAAAATGGAATTGTGTTTTCAAATTACTTAAAGATTTCACAACTGTAATCATTAAATGTTGTCCAATTAGGAAATGGACCAGAAAACTGCATTATCAAAAAATCACTGATTATTCCGTACAGCCTTTACAAAATAAAATGATCGGATGAATCAAGAATGACCTTATTTCAGAAAAAGTTCCCACCAATAACATTAGATTGAAATGTAGATAACTATGAATAATGTTAACAATGCAAGTTAAATGTTTTGAGTCGTTTGTTTAGCATCGCCATTTTCTCGACAACATAGGGCAAGCCTGATCAATGAAACTGAAAACACCAAACTCCCAAATGAGATTTTGCATTCTCCATGCCTAGCTCTGATTTTCTGCATAATTTATAAGTCTGAGGTCAGATTCTTGAGAACCGATCGATGCTAACGTGGTAAATGAAGTGGAAAATGGCGTTTTCGTATATTAGCCATCTATATATTATCATTCAGAAATCAGGAAAATTTTAGAATTTCATCACCTCGAGTACGTGTTTTGATCACACATACGACATGTAGAGGCTCAATATAGTCCTCGTTGGGAATATACATCCGAATATATTATTAACTATTTATGAAATTGTTAATATATATGTCGCTTAGCACTAATAGAAATACCGCAAGTGAAATACCGAAATATAAATAGCTTTTATATAATGGTGAAAAGACACAAAACAGAGAAACAGCCTGTAACATCATTAACCAGATAGCTGTAATTTTCTCCGCATTTTCCATGTTTGCTTTTTCACAGGAGGCGACTCGTATAAAGAGAAATTATAACACATTAGATGCTTGACGAAATATTATGTTATTATTTCATAATCTTTAAACAAGTGGTCGTACTTAACAGTAAACGTCAATAAACCAATTGAAAACGCTTCTGTAATTTCCTATATATTATTTTTTGAAGGAAATATACGAAATATAAGAATGGGTCATGATGAATATCGTCATTTCGTTCCAAATCAAACCAAATTAAATTAGGCATACAAACACAATGCGGTTCAATTTAAACAATGTTCCGGTCAGATTTTCGCACTTCCTTTAACGACGATATTTCATTTTATTGTTGTTCAAACAGAAATATCGATTATGGATTTTGTAATTTTGCGTCAGTGTGATGATGAGTTACGTCGTGTGCATCAGGACACTCAAATATATCATTGAATAGCAACATCGATTGTTTTTGGTGGCCTTTGCCATGACGATATTCTTAATCACATATTTTGGAAATTATAGGTTGAATCATCACAGGAGAAATTGATTTTATTCAAAAAAAAGTCGTTTGTTTTATGATAAGCCAATACTGAAAAATGGCATGTATGAAATTTTAATAACGAGGTCCTAGATTGAAGACACATTTGAAGTCAAAGCGTCTAATATGTTTCAGCATTTTTCCATTTCTACGGTTAAATTAGCGGTTTTATAATGGATATTAAAACATAGAAATTTGTCTGAAATGGAAAACCACACTTTCTATTTTAAGTTTGATTCCAAATTGAGCGATACCAAATAAGAAAAATCCAACGCACCACACCAGATCCGGGAATTTGCTTTCCGCTGTTGCTAAATGTTGATGCCAATGTCGACGAACAACTTTCATCATATATTGCTGTTTCTCCATCATTTACTGCAGAATTAACTGATATCGTCCACATGGAAGCTGCATATCCATCACAGTTACAATCATCATATTCTCCGCCATCCCCGGATGCCCAAACGTATATTGATCCAAGACCTCTACGGCCCTGTAAGTAAGGACTTAGTAAGTTTCGATAAAAACTAAAAAAGTGAAAAAAAACACTTATGTTGGATAGTTTCCCTTGTACTGGTCGCATATTTCCTGCGAGTTTTCACTATTCGTGATTGTCTTCTACTTCATGAACTATGCCCGCAAAAAAACATAAAACATTTTAAATATGAACATAATAGCATAATTTTACCTTATTCACACCTTCAGCCATAGCTTTGAGAGTCAGTCTCCTTGGACCATCAACTGTTTTTCCATCATCGGTAGGTCCCCAAGAAGCGCTGTAAGTTATCATATTACACTCTTTTAATTCTAATTTATCAAACACTCGGGGCATAGAACTTATATATGATTATATAACCTATTTATAAGGATATTAGCAATGTACAATATAACATTATATTATCTTGTACAATGACACATATACAAAATTTATTGTAACTTTGACAAAATTCCCTATGATCACTTCAATAAAATACTGTCTCAAGAATACACACCTGTAAATATCTATCATGTCTGGCTTGTGCGACATAGATTTTGCTTCAATTAAATCAGTCATGTAAGGTTGATCTAGCATTCGTATTCCCGCTACTTTAGCGTCATATGACACTCCAACTCCACATATTCCATTGTCCGCTTTCCCAGCAACCTCACCTGCACAACGAGTCCCGTGGCTGTATTTGAGAAAAAGAATATTTTTTTCTCGATACAATTGTGAAAATCTTATCATCTTTGTGTGTACTGTGTAATAAATATAGTGAGAGCAACAATTTACATTTGTGCCGCCTTTATTGCAAGAGCAAATAGGATTTTATGATATATATTATAGTAATAAAATGTATTGACCTGTTAAACCAATTCACCGTGTATCTTGGATATGGATAAGGATCGTTTCCACTGAAATCATAACTTGCCTCTGCATTCTGAAAACAAATAATCGTTATCAGCATATCTAAAAATTGTAAAATTGTTACAGCAAATCTTTGTCAACTTACATAATTTTCTCTCAAATCTGGATGCATGTAGTCAATTCCGTCGTCCATGATGGCAACAGTAACGCCTTTACCAGTGTATCCCAAATCCCAGGCTTCTTGCACGTTCAAATCGAGACCGGGAACACCACCCGCTTGTCCTGTGTTGTTCTGTATACAAAAATTCACAAATTATATAACATAAATAAATAATTTTGACGATACGTGCAAAAATTCAGAGATTACGAATGAAATGGTTTTTATCTCGTTCCCGTTTTGATGTACGGGTAATTTGTGACAAGGAATAAATACGAACACGTACCGTCTGTATGAGACGAATATGGACGTTTGTACGCCTTGGTATATATTACAACTTTTTGTTCACTTTGAGTGGCGCTGGTCGCCGCCAGACAAAGTTCTATCTTTTGTTATTACGTGACTTATAGTAGTAAGTTGGTAATATACTTGAAAATCTATCAGATAAAAGGATCAATTTTGCTATAAGATCTCATTGAATGTGAGAAAAAATATGTACATTTTATAGCGTATTAAAAAGTATATTTCGTAGCTTTTCTTTTAGAAAATATCGAACACGATATTAAATCTGCACAGAGAAAATATCTCACCAAATACCACTGATAGGCGTAAAGAGGATCCAGCCCTTTATAAGCATGTTGTCGTCTTTGTATTTTCTTGGTATAACCTCGTTTATTTCTGTCATATCCTCGGAGTTGTCGCACCGATTTTATCTGCGGAAATCAAAAATTGTCATCTACAGATAATCAATTTTCTTTGTAATTATCACAACAGTGAATATATTTCAATCTATTAGAAACCAACAAATACATGCATTATGTGGACTTTTAGTCCATCTTATTATACAATTTTCTTAATTTCGTTTGTGCCTAATGCCTGGGAATAAATTTCAACAAAGACGCCATTTTGTTAAATGATGACCTCTTTCTCCTTAAAAACTGTAAATTTTGTTTATAGTTTTTATTTTCTGCCGTTTCAATTGGATAGACCATTTTGAGTTTGCAAAATGAAGAGGAATTCCGTTTTTTGATCATATCAGAGTTAGTTGCATTCCAATTTACGACACCAGATATTCCTCTTTTACTTGAAATATGTCTCTCAAACATAAAAAAGCACCACGTTACCTTAGGTTCTAACTGAAGACTGAACAAATGTGGGATGCTCGGCTTTTGTGATCCTTGTGACAGCGAGTTGTGACGGAAATGATAAAGATCTTCATGGTGTGGCACCTGCAGAACAAAAAATAGCTGTGGTGTTGTTTTTGTTGTTGATTTTTTACATTTCCCAATTTTTGCCGTAGCGGGTAAGAAAGCACCTGTTAATAAAATATGTCATTCGCACAAAGTTTGAAGAATAGGTTATTTTCTGAGACTCGGGTGATATTTGGAAGTTTTTTATGTTTTTTATTTGTTGCACAACAAGTGGCTTGCCTTATGTACAATGCGTGCTGACCACTGATGATGAATATTTTATGAAGTATATCGTTATCGATCCAACGAAAATCTCCATCTGTTTACAATGTGTCGAGGAGAGTGCCAAGTGCTAACTGTATGCCTTAATATTTAGAAGCATTATCCGAAATTGTTTATGTGTGATTTATACAGAATATCAATAATTTTTACGCTATGATATAAATCAAAAGAAGCAAAAGCATAAGATCTGTATATGCACTGTTAAAAAATAATATTTTTATTTAGTATCTAACCAATAATACATTCTACGAAAATTAAGTTTCCGAATTCAACAGGAATAAGTTGTGGTCTGATAAAAAAAAATTGAAGTAAAATATCTGTATACACAACAGATGGATTCTAAAAATACTATAATATTAATCTTGACGGAAGTTTCATTCGACACGAAACCAAAACGTCAGGCAAGCGACTCGTTGCAGTCAGTAGCCTCTGCGGTGAAACATTCATATATATATAGAAAAAAAATTATTTTGTCGTGAAACCAACACATAAATGATTTACAGTAAAATTTATACATTTGATATCTTTGGTATCTTTCTGTACGTGCCATTGGAACATAAAATTAAAACAATATTGTTTTTAACATTTTTCAGAAATAATATAGCAATACAATGAAATACACATCTGAAAATTGATATTTATTCATCTATTTTAATGTCTATAAAAACTTATCATGAAATCGGCATGTATGGGAAGTAATGTATTGGGAAAATCAATTTTAGACTGGGTGCGGTACATGATATCCAATATTGTATTATAACGAATGTGTAAATAGATATGTTCTATACGTTAGCATCGAAAATCGATTTAATATTGATCTTATCCCCAGAGGACTCAATTACCTTACGGTAATTACACAAAATTTCACCTGTTCTAAAATCATTACACAGAAGAGCGATGAGAGAAGGTATTGGTAAATCATTAAACAAACATTCTGGACCCATAGGATTCGTTCGCCGAGTGTTATGACGTTTGGATGCTCACACATAGAATCGGATGCATTTAATAAGGGAGGTTGAAATATATGATAGCATAATGCATGGACAAGTAAAAATAGTGCTCTGAATATCAATTGAAATGGTTTTTACTTCGATTATATGCCTCAGGATTTCCTCAGCCATTGAGACGAAAAACGATCCTTTATTCAATCGTTTCAATTATAGCATATCGAGTAAAAATATAAATCTCATTGGAAACTGACTTTTGGCTAAAAATAGAGTATTCGTGGCGGGCAGACGGGATAAAAGATCATTTAAGTGATCCCTCTCTATAAATACCGGTATGCTATAAAATTCAAAATTAGGTCCCCTGATTTACGTCAAATGCGTAGGTCGTGCGTAATTTACGTACGTTGTGCGTTTCCTATAGCTTTGAAATAAAAACATCAAAGACTGATCAATTATTCATGGCTTTGATTCTTCCTCGGTCATCTTCCTCAAATTGACCGGAAAAAGCTTTGCTCACGTTCAATTCATTGTGCAATTTGATAAACCAGTTGAGTGCAAGCCCTTATTTTATTGCGATACAAAAATATTTTAGCAATATTATGTTGCACATTTCACACGTACTTTTACTTTAGTACTTTGTTTCGGCGAAATCAGTAAATCTCATTATATTTAAATAGAATAAAATACGCATAATTACCGGAATGAACGAACGATCAATTCTTTAAAATTTCTATTTTCTTAAATTAAATAAAACACGTCCAACTTAAAGAAAAGTAAATAGTACTCGAAAAAATGAATAATTTAAAATACTTAGTGAAAAATGTTTGCTATATTTGTCAAATTAGCCATAAACTTGTGTTTTTAAGTCAATCGAACTCGGGTTGATATTTGTATGAAAATTACCTTGAAGATTCATAATAAGATACAATCTATCCCCGGATAGGTAACTTCTTTAATAATTTAAACTTTTCGGACTGAGAGGATATCATCATGATTTTAGATAAGTCCTGTTTTGAAAAATATTGGTTTGTAGTTTTGATTTGACCACAGCGCCGTAATTTCTATCACATAAAACTTTCGTTGAAAGGAAAATTGAATGAATTTGGACACTCAGATGGCGATTAATTTTAAAAATTTCATTATAAATATCTACTGATGCTTTGTATATAGCAATATATATGTATTTCTGGCGCCTTATCCATGCTGAGCACTTAATGTATAAACTGTATATTATGTTTGTAATCGCTTAAGCAATAATACAATCAATAAGAATTTTATTCTTAAATACCCAGTCGTAAATCATAAGTGGAAAAATTCCATGAATCTATGGAAATCAATCCGACAAAAACAGGCTTTGTTTCATCCCTTGTAGTGTGGCTAAACAGATTCTTCTTTCTCATACCCGCCCGAATTCGAAAGTAGACTTACTGTCGTATTACTGTCCATGTCGTAACAGTGCCTGATCGGCTTTCACTCCACATGATAAGAAGATCCTATTCGGATCTCTGGTGGGAAGCCCCCGCCAAAACACAACCCCGCCACCACTCTAGATAAAAACAGTTAGTACTTATCAAGTTGGAGGGTAGGGTAAGGAATACAGATTGTGGTGGGAATTCAAATTTTCATATCAATTCGAACCGTGGTGTTTTTCTCAAATCTCAATTTTTGCATTAGTGGCGAGAGCTTCCTACAAAACATTCTTCTATTTTATATACAGTATTACTCACCGGTCCATGATTCTCAAATCCTAATCTCTTTGCTACTTCTTCTGCGTGATCAACATTTAATTTTGGTTTCAATTCCACAACAAAATCGTTTGTGAAAACTTCAGCAGCTTCGGCGAACAAACTTGACTGTGCCAGAATCAGTCGCCCAAAATCAAATTCAATTCGTTCGGAGACCGCATACAAAGCAGTTATAAAAACACATAATAAATAACGTGCCATCAAACCGTAGCTCACACCGTCTTTTTATAACCTCTATTTGTATGTAGCACGTTATTACAAATACTCCTTATTTAATACTACAGTACACTAAATAAACAGCATTAAAGGTATATTCGTTAATAGCCTTCTGGAAGGCATTTATATATTCTGGAGTTGCTGAAGCGAGAGAATGCATCATCAGCCCTTTTTCTTTTTTGTAATGAAAAAATGTGATAAACACCGCGTATTTAAATTTTTAATTCGCAAATTCTCGTCGACTATGGTATTACACACTACCAATTTTACGGTTGCTAATTGCAAAATATTAATACAAAATAGCTCAGAGCGTAATCCGGTATATGCTATTCTCGTCATGGACATGTGGTTCGAGCACTATGCTAAATCATATTACAATAAACAGAGTGCCGGATGGGAGTGCAGATACGCTCCCATTGGCCGCCGTCAATTATTTATGAATATCGATCTATTTGCTAAAGATGAGAGAAATTGTATACGGAGTATATTATCTCGATAACAATAGCCCACACATCTGAAAAATCAGCATTCAAATTGAATTTTGTAGTAATTCGATATAGTAACCAGGAAGTAAAGAAAAGTCAGAATTTTCTACGATTCAATCTAATTCAAAAAAGATCAAATTTGAAATACTCAATTCCGACACGAGTGTTACCCACATTGTGCTTGCCAAATATCAGTGGAAACTTCGACGCTTTTAACCCGTGAGGTTCCATGCCTTATTGGTGCGTCATATGGTGAAAATATTGTCAAAATTGATGGTTTTGTAAGCGCCCACACGGCAAGCTTAGCTGACAAAAGATTTATCGTCACGATTCAATTTAGTATATCACTAATGATATGCTTCCATAACAAATTATTTCGCTGTTTAGCGAACTTCGTGAATCGTGATATACCAAATTTTTTATTTTTAGATAAAAAATATTGGTACCTCCTGAAGTATGCGCACCAAGATGGCGCACAACCTGAACTCAGGTTGTATACCAGGTTAGGGTTCAGGTTATGCGACATCTTGGTGCGCATACTTTAGGAGTACCAAATATTGCAGTACAGAATAAGTAAGCAGCCTCTAAGTAGACTAGTAGAGTGATATTGGGGAGTACAAATGTGACGTTAAAATATTTGCATGCCGATTCGTTTCGTTTTGCTTTTGTTAGGTGTAAAAAGAAACGAACAAATGTGGGTGTTGTGAAATGCATCCCACTCTTTTACACGCTGGCTTTTTAGAAATCATTATGTAATGCAAAAAATTCTTGCTAATCAAAACATCGGAGTCTGGAGAAAAGACATGGTAATTATTGGCAATCGATCTACATAATGTGTTACTACGTAAATCATTCCATAGTCGATTCCATTCACACCGTACGTGTGCCTTAAATTTCAAGGAGGCTTACGCTATAGGATCATCAACTGAGTCTTACGCAGCGTGTTCAACGAAGTAATATCGACATAAAATCTGTTTTGCATTTATATATATATATATATAAATATTAACAGATGGTTTTATGTATAATTTGGTTTTGCATCGCATGTTTTCTTCAAAAACTCAGAGTCAATTTCACAAAGAGTTAAACTAAAATTACATATTGCTTACACGATTTTCTCATTTATTGCTTTTATTTGAATTTGGAACCCATAACTAGATAATTGACATATTTTTAAAAAGTTATTATTTTTTCTACTTTCAAAATGTTTTTGATTTTATCAAGTATCAGCTCAGCGTAGATTTCATATTTTCAATAGTTGAAGACGACCTAAAATTTCAAATTCATTTCGAGCATTCTATAATAGGGGAATATTGCACCAACACGTGGTGAATTGAATTTTGTGTCTATGAATATGAGCATTGCTCTCTTATTTTATTGAACACAAAGTAAGCAATGGGTTATTTTGATAAATTCTTGCTGTTGTTCTGGCTGAAGTTACGGTAAATTGCTTTTCCAAGAAACTGATTCTAAAAAATTCTATAACACTCGGTACAATTTTGTTGATATTCGACTGAAATTTTGCTGACATTATAATGGCTATATTAGTCATTTGATTTTCTATTTCATTATTTACCGGTACTGAAATTATGATTATACTAGCAATAAATTCTTCGCATTACGCTTGGTATTATGGCAATCAATTTGTAGTTCATTTTCAGTATAGCAAGTGTAATAGTTTGCTGAAATATTTCTCATGAACTTTCACTACAAAAATTCGTGACGATTGATTTTGCTAGGTTAATATATCATCCAAAACAAACATTACCGAAAACAAAAATGGGATTTGGACAATAGATCTTTGGTGCAGCTTCTCCCCTATCTAATGCCTATAGAACGATTACCTTATTTCAACGTTTTAATGAGCATATCACTATCAGGCAATAAAATAATTGATAAAAATGATCATAGCAAGGAGCTATGTCTGGCAGGAAATACGCAACTGAGTGCATTGAGTCAATAATACATCAAAAAATCTTCTGCTGTGTCATTTTGGCACTGTAACTGATACTTTTGATAGCCGAAGACAAGAGTTGTATTGTATTGAACCTTCCCTTTTGCAAAGAAACTAAGTTTGCTATCATTTCTATGGGAAAATCTACTTACACATCATAAAAATTACTTACTTATTACATAAGTTAGATATATGAATCTCAATTTTTTTTGAAGAACAATCGTTATAAGGAGGTTTTCGATGATTTCAAATTTAGACCTTAGTGTTTTTGTTATCGTTCATGTTGGCTAAAATATGGACGATTTCAGGTTCGATTCTGTACAGTAAAATGCCTGACCACGATTCTAAGTCTAGAGTTCAATAATGTCCAATCGCATTCATAAGAATATTTCATCATTGCACTTAGTTCAAACTATTGAGTTTACTATAAAGAATAGGTAATATATGTATTTTATTTTAGAACCGCAGCTTTCGCGACAGCAAATTGGGTACATGAGACCGCTTTTGAAAGACACCTAAGAAGACGTAGAGAGTAAGTGTACATTTATGTCTTTGCAAAACACGTTGTGTTAAAAATCAAATTCTAATAGCGGTTATTTTTCTCTAAATATTCAGAATACGGGCAGCATTGCAAACTGCTGCAACACTTGTATGCATGCTGGCGGCGACAGTAGCTAACTTGGCGAGGAACTATCTTCCGACCTATTTTTCGCAAGGTTACATTAACTTGTCGTGGAAAGAATCCACGGAAATGTAAGTTTTTATAACTTATGTTAAAACTATAATTTCATGCATATAAACATACCCAGATTCAAATAGAATTTGTATTTTATAAACTATGAAGTTTCTAGCCATTATTTATTACGGGCTTATATATAGTGCGGTCGATCTATGGCAGTATAATCTTCACTTGTAAGCTAAATGGAATGAATTTATTTATCGCAGAGTGCTGAGATTCGAAGAGACGGCTTCACGCAGATTACATGTATGTTGTCAAATCTCGCCATAAACTGCAAGCACAGGATAATGACGAACCAATTTTAGGTAGTTCAAGCCAGTTCGTCAGTTGCAGTGGGAGTTGGCTTTTTGATTTCAATTCTGAAACTAATTTCTGCCATATGTTCTTAATATCTTTCATTTTCTGTTCAGTATACAACTGAAAACAGTTCATTCTCGAAGTCAGGTGCTGCGGACAAGATAAGTGAAACAATACAATCTGTGCCTAGCAAGGTTGTAGAAAATATTGGCGAAGAACTAACGTGAAAGTGAAAGCGTTGGTGATATGGTAAATTTTTACCTGTAAACAACAATTTCGACCTCACCCGAGAGATTAGACTTTCTTTCTTGCACGGAGAAAATTTTGAAATCGAATTTTGAATAACATGTTAATATATATATATATCTAATACGGTAGTTAAGTAGACATACCGCGCTAAAAAAGCGACAGTTATGTAGACGGAAAAATTGGGTAGACATTTTCCTGTCCGCTTAATTATTCCACGTTCCATAATTAAAACGTTTTGCGATATTTTGCTGAAATCTCTTTTTCTCTCCTAAAACAGTATCAAAAATAATATGTTCTTTAATATTTTTAAATATTGCACATTTTCGCCAACTTTAAGGGACAAGTTCTGCTGGTTTATAATCAACGGGTTTAATTTTCGTACATAAAGTGGACATTTTTTATGCAAAAATCTTTTAATTTTTCGGTATATGTTTTTACGATTTTTGGAGAGTAGGTTTGATAATTTTGATACAATAACCAGGCAGAACATGAAGATCGTCCGTTCTGTTTTTTGCAATATAAGCTCAATAAACTGAAAAGGACCTCAATTCACAACTCCGTACTAAAGAGGCTTTGTGTCGCAATAGTAAAACTGTCGGGTTCGCCGAGAACTTTACCACGTTTGCCGTTTTGTTCGCAAGTAACCTGGGCGCCGTGAGGGGATTGGGATCTTCATGAGTGCGTGATTGCCGAAATTTAGATAAAATAGAACAGTTGTGTTTGGAGAAGAGATCCAAGTCTTTTGTGTCAGGTGTTATCAGTTACCCAGTGAGTTGAAGTCGAGTCATAATAACTTGAAACAAGGTTTCAACGTCACGAGGAATGCTGCTGGAAATCATCACTCATCGGATAAGGTGATTAGTCATAACGATTTTTAATATTAGGGTTACTATATTTTTGGTGTTGAGATTTTTCACGTAATCCAGATTATCAAAATATAGACTACTGATACTGTTATGCTCTTACTGGTCGTAGTTCTGATCTGACCATCAAAATAATGCTACGACTTGGTTTGCGTTTGTAAGAGTGTGTAATTCAGAAGGATTTCTAAATCCAGATGAAAATACAAACGAAGATTGTGAAAATTCAATGAATTTTTCGAAACAGAAGGATATACGAGAAGCGAGTGGTTGACGTTTGTTTGTATAGCTTGGTGTAAATAAAAATATCTAATACACCGCTTCATATTAGATTAGAATATTTTATCTTCGGAAAACAGTTTTGAAGAATTGCATTACTAGCAATTTTGTTTTGTGATTTGGCACATATCCCTGTGTTATTTTACCATCTTCATCTAGTTATTTACTGGGCTGTATTTTTTGTTCACATGTAGGTGACTCTCCAACGAGATGGCCTACGTTTCAGAACTTGGCAGACGGAAATGCGGGTAGTGATTCGAGAAAGCTGTGCCAGGAGGTGACTAAATGAGTTTGCTATGCTTGTTTTTTATTAAATACGTATCGTAAATTGATACCAATGAATGGTAATAAACCAAATCATAATATCATTTGTAGCCCATCACAAATAGCGCAGCTATCTACGAATAATTGTAGTGCACGTTTAGAAACTCTGGTTTATTTGAGTAATAATGCAATTCCATTTCAAACATTTCGTTTGTTCGATCAATCAAGAGTAGCGTAATTCTGAATTGGACTAAAACACTGTGATGATGTTTTGTGACTTATGCATGTATTTTTGACCAAAGTTTCAGATAAGTCAACAGACTATACCGCACCATCTTCAGAATCACTTTCAATAAGCAATTAAGTGATTTCAAAGAAAACCATATATATGGAAAAGAAAAAGGCTGTAAATCAATTAAAAAAAAAGCTTCTAAACAAACGCGAACCAGAAAAGAAACGACGAAAAGAAAAATAATTGCACGGATTGGTATATCTTGCGAGAAGTTTATTGTAAAGCTTTAAGACATCTCTGTATAATTCATAAAGATGAACCGGCAGTGAGCATAATTTGTCTCTCCTCAACAACTTAACCTAGTGGCATATCCACATTCGTATACATACTTATATACTATTTAATTATAAATTCAAAATAACAATCATGTTTTTGTATTCCGAGTTGGTGCAAAAATTTTAAATAAATTGTGCAAAGATTCTAAATTGATATTGAGGTTCAATAATTTCATTTTGATCGCTTGTATAGTTGACTGTATAAATCACTGCTATAATTAGGCGCCCTGATAGGTAGACATTTGAGTTATATTGGTGTAATGTTTCTCATTTTAGTTGACATGGCAAAATTTCGTTTCGCATTTATAGGCCCCACTGAAAACGTCACTTTATTGAACATTTGAGATATGTTGTGTAATGTTTCTCGATATTTTTTCAGAATTTCGTGTTTTAATTATACCTTCTGAAATGGTCGGGTGTTGAAATTTTTTTTGAATGCTTCTCAATATTATTGCCATTCCAAAATATCATTTTGCATTTACATGACACACTTACGTAGCTGAGTAGATGACGATTTGCGATTTATTTTCTGTTTTGTTTTTCAATATGGTTTCAAAATTTTGTTTTATAATATTTGTCACTCTCAAGTTATCGGATAGGTGAACATTAGAGATAAATTTTGAGCAATTTTCCACAACATCAAATATGATTAGTATTCGAAATTTCGTATTTCAGTTAAATTTCACACACTTAAGTGTGTGAGATATATTTTGTGTAAGATTTCTCAATACGATTCCAGAATTTTGTTTCAATAGTTGTATGCCACACTTAGGTGGTCGGATATGCGGACATTTGAGATATATATTTTGTGTACTCAATATTTCAGAATTTTCATTTCAATTTTTGTATGCCCCACTTAGGTGGTCGGATAGGTGGACATTTGAGATATACTTTGTGTAATGTTTCTCAATATGATTTCAGAATTTTCATTTATTTTTATGCCACACTTAGGTGGTCGGATAGGTGGACATTTGAGATATACTTTGTGTAATGTTTCTCAATATGATTTCAGAATTTTCAATTCTTGTATGCCACACTTAGGTGGTCGGATAGGTGGACATTTGAGATATACTTTGTGTAATGTTTCTCAATATGATTTCAGAATTTTCATTTCAATTTTGTATGCCACACTTAGGTGGCCGGATAGGTGGACATTTGAGATATACTTTGTGTAATGTTTCTCAATATGATTTCAGAATTTTCATTTCAATTTTGTATGCCACACTTAGGTGGCCGGATAGGTGGACATTTGAGATATACTTTGTGTAATGTTTCTCAATATGATTTCAGAATTTTTTTCAATTGTTGTATGCCACACTTAGGTGGTCGGATAGGTGGACATTTGAGATATATTTGTGTAATGTTTCTCAATATTTTCATTTTCAATTGTGCCACACTTAGTGGCCGGATAGATGAACACTTGAAATCGAATTTGTGTGATGTTTGTCTTCATTAATGACATACCAGAATTCCCATTTACAATTATTTGTATAACTTAAAAGGCCGGATAGGTGGACTTTGAGATAAAGTTTGTGTGATATTTTTTCAATATTATTGGCATTTCCGAATTTCATTCTGCGGTTACCTTCTGCGTATATATAATTTTCTTTTATTGTTTTTCAAAATAATTAGCACTTTCATATTTTATTTTACTATTATATACCACACTTCCTTTTTAAAATAATATTTCACACTTTAGCAATCAAATTGGTGATACGTTTGAAATATATTTTGTGTATTGTTTCTCAATATGTATGGCATTTCAAAATTTTGTTTTTCAATTATATGTCACGCTTAATAACTAGCCATATAGATATGCGGGTTTTTGAGGTATATTTTGCGCAATGTTTATCAATATTATTGGAATGCCATAATTTTGACTTGGTATTAATATCTTGACACTTACAACATAGCATCTGTTTAATCTATGTGTTGCACCATAGGGTTGGAATAGGCGAACATTTGTGATATGCTCTGTTTATTTCTCAGTTTCAATTTGTTTCAATTTGTCTACCTTCACGTTGCATTTCATACGCTTTAAAATGCGTATTAAAATAAAAGCAACATCATTTATGTAGACATCCAGGGCGACATATAAGAGGGGTCCGGCTTAGTGCCGAAATAGGCTAAAACATTTGGTGGTCTGAATTAAGTAGACGAATTAAGCGGACAAAAATTTTATATCTGTTATCGAGAGGATTGTGTTGACTCTTTTTCTCCGTAGTTGTGAACGGCTCTCGCGCTCTCGTATTTAAAAACAATGATACGGGCACAGGAACGACGTCCGCTTAAGTACTGCAATTATGGCAGGTCCGTTTAACTACCGTAATAGAGTTATATATATATATATATATTATTGTTTTTTCGGTATAATAAAAAATGTTCGAAAAATACCTCAATATCGGTTGCACAGACTGTCTACACTAGCCGTATTCTCCCGACATGGTTCATTTTTCGCTCGCAAAGCCGTCGCCGGGGCGACGCCGATTTTGCCCCGGTTGCTCATTGTATATCGTATTCTCTCTTTTATCTTCCACTCGCCGCGTTTGTCTCGTTTGTTTTCTGTTTCTTTTACTAAATCATCGGGGCCGATCGGGGCTAGCCCCGAAATTATGACGACACAATGCCGACGTTTCTTACAACAACGTGTTGACATATTCACGCATTCCTTCTCGTTCGTTGGTTGCTTGAAGAGTTGATAGTTTCCTCGCCTTCGTTTTTGTCGCTTGTTTCGCTATTTGAATCAGTTAGAGACCTTTAGTCCATTTGCTTTCGATTTTCCACATTCC